GACATCACATGTTTTTGTGCTGTTATAACTGTAGTTCATCTCTGTGTATATGTATAAAAAACCAGCCTTTTTGGTTTGTTCTTCCACTCTTTCACGTGTTCAGCAGTTAAAGTAGTGTAGTCTTCAGTAGGTTGCCTTTGTTCTTCTAATTTTCACCGGCACATCTTTACCTTTTTTGTGGCGTGACGTCACATATCACCTGGGCATCCAGTACGGGCATCGCTGTGCGGCCTATCACATGGTTCTCAACCTATATGTACATGTGTGTTCTGTAATAAACTTATCATTTGCTCTTGAAATTCTGTCGATTCCTCACGTTATAACACTGGCAACGAGGGTAGGACCCGCCCCCCATTCTAGCACAGTACGAAGGCAGTATCGCGGATAACCAACAACTGACAGCCTCAGAGCAAAATCAACGGCGTTCCTGGCTCGAACTGATGGAACTCGGTGGCTGCGAACTTCGCCGAGGATTAATGTCTTCGCCCGAAGAGCAACTGACCGATAAGTACACTGCACCTTGTCTGAACGATGGCGCGACTAGGAAAGCTAGACGAGTTCGACAAGAAGGATCAAAATTTTGAATCTTTTTGGGAACTTTTTCGAGCATTTCGTCACCGCTAATCACATCAAAATGGAAAAGAAGCTCGCAGTAATCTTGAGTGTAATAGGATCGTGAACATACGAGGTGCTCAAGTTTGGTAGTACCCTGTTCCTGAAGACAAGACCTTTGAAGAGGTCACAGTGCTGTTGAAGAAGCACTATAGCCCACAGTGCTCGGTCATTGCCGAATGTTGCAAATTCAACAAGCGAGCACGAGAGGAACAGGAAAGCGTTGAGGACTTGATAGTTGCCTTGAAGCATTTAGCAAGGAAGTGCAACTTCGGCCAGTTCCTACAATATGCGCTGTGAGACCGAATAGTGGCAGGCATAAGACGCGAAGAAACGCAAGTTGCATTATTTGCGGAAGAAGATATAACCTTCGAGAAGGCATGCAAGATAACCCTGGATAGAGAGCAGGCCGCGCGACAGACAGTATTACTGCATGCCGATGGCAAGGAAGCGGCGGTGCATGCCATAGCGATACGACGCCCGGGAGGCGAAAAGAAAAGGAAGCTTCGAAGGTTCGAAGAAGATAAGCTGTTGCGCGAATGCAAAGATGGGCAATTACGCTGGGAGGATACAATTATAAACTAAAACACAGAAAGGGAAAAAATTTTGAGGTGGCTGACGCTCTGTCTCAACTTCCACGGCCTATTGTAGCTGTCAACGAGCGTTCTGAATGTCTCTTGCTCTTTGACAGCATGCCCCTCAGTTCTGATAAGGTGGCGAGAGCCACATTACACGATCCCACTCTATCTTGCGTGACGCACTTCATAATAAATGAATGGCCCTCAGAGTGCTCCGAAGCATTTAGAACATTTCATTCGCGGTGCGATGAGCTATTAGTAGAGCAAGACTGCATAACTCGGGGATCAAGAGTAATCATTCTAAATAAGCTCCGGCCATAGGTCTTGCAGCTGTTGCACCAGGATCACTTGGGATCAAGCCGCATGAAAGCGTTAGCAAGAAGCTGTGTGGTGGCCTGGCCTCGACCTTTCTGTTGAGAACTATGTCCAACAATGTCGCGTGTGCCAGGCCGTCCAAAAAGCGGCTCCACCGGTTCCTTTGCAACCATGGAATTACTCCACGTAGCCTCTGCAACGGTTGCACATGGACTATGTCTTAAAAGGTTCACATGCGTTCCTAGTCCTCGTCGATGCGTTCACTAAATGCATTGAGGTCTTACCTGTGTTGTCCAGTACTGCTAACAAAACCATTGAAAAGCTATGTAGCGTGTTTACAGCATATAGTCTGCCAGAGGTACTGGTGAGTGATTACGGACCCCAATTCATTTCAGAAGAGTTCGGGGCTTTTTTGAGACTGAACAGAGTAAGGCACGTCAAGACGCCACCGTACCACGCGACTTCTAATGGAGCAGCCAAACATCTGGTTCAGACTACGAGACTAGCCCTGTCAAAGTATGTTTTATAGGACAAGGTTAGAGACCAGAAACACACATTATTGGAATGTTTGGACAGCTATCTAACGAGCTGTAGGAACGCTCCCCACAGTACCACTGGTCAGACCCTGGCAGAACTATTTTTGAAAAGACGGCCAATGGTAAAGCTTTCGTTGCTAAAGCAAAATTTTGAGCCCTCGATGCATGAGCAGCAGCAACGTATCAAACTGCAAAACGACATGTACTGCGGGGTTTCTCAATGTTTTGCTGTGGGGGACGCAGTGTGCGTGAAGACGGTGCGAAGTGAGACGGTGTCGTGGGGCGATGGTGTCGTGACACGGGTTGTTATTCCTGTAACCTATCTGGTAAAAGTATCGCAGGCGCTGTGATTTACGCATGCTGGCCACATCAGGGCCCGCTACGCAACCTCGTATTCCACAAGCGGTACGCAAGTGCAACCTGTTCAACCCTCGCAAGACGCCACCCCTCCGATGGTTCCCAGGCCGTGTGGGCCTGCGATCGGGTTGCCTCTCGGAGATCCACGCACGACAAAATCTGCCACGGTTCCCCTGCTGGCAACTACATCACCCACGGCCGGAACTGCTGCCTCCGGTTCTTCAGACAACCTGGCGCTCCAGGTGTGCCATCGGCAGCCGAACGTGCAACTCTGCGGCGTAGTGAACGTGTGCGACGTGGCCCGGACAAATACCAGCCGAGAAACTTTTGGAAGTAATTCGTGGGGGAAGGAGTGTTGTGGCGTGACGTCACGTATCACCTGGGCATCCAGTACGGGCACCGCTGTGCTGCCTATCACGTGGTTCTCTGCCTATATATTCGAATGTGTTCTGTAATAAACTTATCATTTATTCTTCGAATGCCGTCGGTTCCTCACGTTATAGTGACCTTCTAAACCAAAGTTTCCAGGTACATATTTTGTGTATCTATAAATTCATTATGGCAAACAAAAAGAGCCCTGCCTGACACTTTTCTGAACCTTGATTAATCGCTGTTATCAACATTTGTCTTAAATGACTCTTCCTGTACTGTGTGAGGGTTTGAGATCCTTGTTTCTATTGGACATGCCCCAGGCTGGCAGTAGTCAACTGAATGTGAAAGTTTGCTATAGTTGATGACAAAGAAAATGCAAAGGCTCCTTTTTTTTTTTTCCTAACCCTTTTTTTTCCCCCTTGAACTTTCACAAGTTTTCATCAATAACCTAATGTTTACATTGGTGCCACAGCCTTTTATGAGTGCTTCTTGTTTTGTGGCCATCTCATGTGTACCTTGAGTGATGTGCACTGATGTTACCTCTGTATTCTTTTTACCACCTCATTCTCCTATCTACGTGTAAGCTAATAACCTGGGTATATTAGCCCATGTACTCTGCCCATCTCTCTTTTCATGTGAGCATTAAAAGGGCCCTGCAACACTTTTTCAAGTAGCCATGAAATGGATTCAGTAAAGGAGCTCATTGCGTCACAAATTCACCGCCGAAAAAATATTAAAATCCGCCCGGTACGAGCGAGTTAGAAAGATTTGTCGCACGCTGCAATTACAGTAGACTCCTTTTAAACAAAACCTGAAGGGGCTAAGAAAACGTGCTTCTTTTAAGAGGAGTTTCGTTTACAGAGAGATAAACAGGGGTATAATATTCATCTACGAAACTAAACACGTTAGTGGCAGTTGTTTCAAGTAGCAATCTCATTTAAGAGAGTTTCATTTAATAGGAGTCTACTGTACATTCTCTCCTTTCTCGTCCCAGAGAGAGCGCTGGAAGCTAAGCAGAAAGGAATGGCACGGGGGAAAAAAATATATCATTCCTGTCTCTTAGCCTTGAGAACTGTTTCTTTTTTTTTCTTTGAACATACATATTTTTTTTAGAGCGACCATGTGTGCACACGTGAACAGGTTGTGACTGCTCGCACCGCCTCTAGTAACTCCTGTGCGCCCCATGCTCAAATCAACCAGTGGTGATACTTGGGCATGTGAAGCCACAAATTTGAGTATGTAGCATCATTTGTAGAGAGAACATAAAGTGATATTTAGTTAACCTTGAGAATTTATTGTAAATTACCGACCATGGACTGCACTATAATACTTGACTTGTGTATTTTCAATAGCCACGACTGCTGATCAGCAGCATTTTCTGAAAAAGTGTAGCAGGGCTTCTTTAAAGGACCCCGATTAGCGAAAGTTCTGCTTGCAACTTCTTTTTTACAGTAATTTGTAGATTTGCATATGGCAATTATGAAATTGCTGAATAAAGGCTCTAATGCATTGTGTAAATAATGCTAAAATCATTAATTCAGAATTATTATTCATTTGTTGGAAAGGACTGCCTAAATACTTTAAAAGACTAGCGTCGCACAGCGGGGCAGCGCCTGAGACTGTGTGTACTCAAGCTTTGGTGACACTGAATGTGCCGTCCCCAAATCAAGGGACCCGTGGGCGGTGAAGAATGAAACAACGTCAGTGTTTTTAGTGTGTCAACCTCAGAAAAAAGAAAAGCATTCCTGATATAAGTAGTCAAAACAAATTTGAAAGAAAATACATCATAATGCCCGACAACAGACCAAGAGGGGTGACAGGAATAGTCCTCACCAGGTGCCAGTCAGGGTATTGTGCGCGCTCCGCAAATGTTCTCTGACATCAACAGTACTCACCTTACTCGAATGCCATGCGGGGCCTTTGTCTACATTGAAACAGCGAATATGTCAACTATTGCTGATAAATCAGATGAGCTCTCACCCTTACTTTAAAGCCAAATTAAAATATCTTATAAGCAATGCCTATCGTTAATAATTGGTCAGAAGTGCCCCCAGGTGCAGGACTCCCAAACAGTACAAAGATCTGGACTTTCCAAGTTTGATGTCGGGGGTCCTTTGCCTGCCACTACATAAGTTTGTTGGACAATAAGCATTATTATTGATTGAGGCCTGTACGTAGTATATGTTGGGAGCACCTCACCCACTCTTTAAATCACACCATTGTCACCCAGGCTGGAGACTGCCTTTCAGGAGATCACCCAGGGCTACTACCTCAACGAGTGCAAGAGGGTCAAGGCTCACAAGGACTTTGCCAACAAGAACACCCACCAGGTGAGGGGGTAGTACTAAGCACTGCCACTTGAGAGTGTACATTTTGTCTAAACTATCAAGCTGAATATGGCAGATTATGCGGACAAGAAAATGCGACCCTGGAGACCCATACATTTACGTAGTTTCTACTTTTTGTCTGTGGGACTATTAGTAGAAAAGTGCTGTGTTGAGTGAGTTAGTAACACTCTATGGTTAATAGTTATTTGTGTACAGCTTGCAAGAAATGCAAGTGGAGTTGTAGTTACAAGCACTTGTGTCTGTGCAACTCCCATCGCTTCTTTTTCCAGGTTGTGTGCGAATGACGGTTTATAATGAGCATCATCAATTTCAAAACAGCGGTCTTTGAAACATCGCAGTAGCCAGAGTGAAAGCATTTCACTCGCACTTAAAGGCATTCACATGGGGAGCGTAAACATTGCGCACACCACCAGCAAGCTTTATATGTGCACATACAAACCAGCAAGCTTAGTTTTATATGCTCGGTGCAGGGTAGGAAAGTTTAAATAGACAGAGCAGTAGAAGGTAAAGATAGCGCTAGTAGAGAAGGCCGTATGAAAAGGAAATATTGAAATGGCAGAACAAAGTGCTGCTACATCATAAATGAAATCCCCCAATAGTTGGCAATGCCTTTTGCGCTTCACGTTAGTACTCTGTGCTCTCATATTTTAACATGAAAGTTTACAATGTGTCTTTGCGAGCAAATTACCTTTTTTGTTAAAGGGCTGTGAACACTAGTCTTTTTTATGTTTCATGTGCGCTTTAGACATCTATAGTAGTTTTGTTGCAAAAATGATATTGTAGTCTCAACACTAAAGCTAGCAACTACATAAGCAGATAAAAGTGAAAAGAAAAAGAAGTGGCAAAAATTCGCAATGTAACAGAGATTAGGATTGCCATTAGGTTGCCTTCACCAGCACTTAGCTTATGTGTGCTGCTCGTGCTTTGGAACTGTGCCTTGCTTTATTGTCAGGCTCTAGCACTGGTGACAGCTCAAGCAAATGAACTTTCTTGCAGTAGGAAAAAAAGTGCGAGGTTTTCTCTAACCATTTTTGAGCAAAGGCACCAACTTCCTACCTTCCTTAGTAAGCCTCGTACTCACTAGGTTTCTGCTCTTAAAGTGAGATGTTCTGTAAAGTGTGCTCAATCACACATTTTTTTTTTCTGCCTTGTCTCTCTCATACAGCAACTCCTCATCCGTCACCAGTTCAAGATTGCGTTCCTGCACGAACTGAAACAGGATCCAGGTGTTGCTATTCGGTGAGACCTGAATTTGTTTTGGTAACCGCTTTGGAAGAAAATAGACAAAATTATGGTGAAAGCAACCATGGGAACACCTTGGTGAAAATTGGCGTCCTTCGTATAAAGCCTTAAGTGTAATAATGTTTTTTTAGCCCCATTATGCTGTATGCAGTTGGTGTGCAAGAAACCGTGCGAGGTTAAGTCATGAAGGATTATGACTTAAAGGTTGTTGGTTGTGTTAGGAGGGGCCATTGGGTGTGTCTCCTCCATGTCAGCTTGCACATTGCCTGTACTAGGTCTCTGCATGGCTGAATGCTGGGGCAGCTTGCTGGAATCTTCAGTGGGGCCAACGGATGGATGAGTCAACATGGCTTGAGGCTCTGTGTGTGCTTGTCTTGCTGCAGTACACCTAATGCGGGACATCTCTCATCAACGGTCACATTATGAGGCTGTTCCGGGGGTGTGTTAAGGCAAAGGACTGCGTGATGCACTCCTATGTATGTCTGTGCTACTCATCAGTCAAGCGTTGTCACAGCGAGCATTTTTGTCAGGCCTAAAGCACCATGCTCATCAAATTAATATGGAACTGAATATTTTATGCAAATCTTGCTGAAATGTGCTTTGTAGTTGCGTGCACATAGTTTCTGTTAAGCAAAAATGCCTTTGAGTGCAAATTTCACAGGCTCTGTGTTTACATTGTGACATTAAGCTAGGTTGACTGATTACTTGCCTCCTGCGAAATGAAACAAAAAAAAGTGTAGGCAAACTTACTGCAGACTTTTGCAAATGAGGGGCCCTTTCTATCTTGTTTTAAAGCCCTCATTTCAGATGGGCCCAGTTTGCAACTGCGATATTGAGAATAGTTGTCAGGATTCTAAAGTTTGCATTTTGATGTCCTGTGCAGTCATTACAAGCAGGCTTACGTTGACCTGCTGGAGCTGAAGACCTCAGATGCCAACATCCTCGAGGTCAAAACTGTTGCAGGCATCCTCAACTACAAGGTGAGTTCTCATCTTCTAGTGGCATCATGAATGGCACGAACGACTTTTGGGTCCACAGAAGATACCTAAATAGTTGATGTTCAGAATAATGCATCATATTTTCTCATGAGGTTATCTGCAAAAGCAACAAAAACTCATTCAATGTGCCCACTTCAAGGAAGGGGGGTGTAGTGTTATCAACAACAGATGTGTCGCTACGTGCACAAATTATTTCGAGGCCTTGGTTAGTGCGACCAGCATAAATTTTATGCTGAGAACTTCTTCACTGGATAGCATGCTGCTTTTAACATTTTGTTTCCAGTGGATTGTTAAGCTCAGGTATTTTGCGACACATGTCAGTCATGGAAGTGAAGTGCAATAAATGGGATGGGCTTGTCCCATTTACTTTGCCCATCCTGTTTCTCCCGCTTATCTTCTTGTTTATTGTGCTTCGCACTACCATGTATGTATCCCCAAATGAGCCAAATTTCTACTTTTCTGGTGTCAGTTATACAAGCACAAGTTGTAAAAAATGGCGAAGCTCACTTTGACTCGCTCATGAAATATATCTTGCGCTTTGGACTCACTCGGACTCAGACTCGGCAAGATTTTCCTGAGCTGGACTCGCTCACATTCACAATCATGCAAATTTTCTTCAACCAGACTCATTCAGACTGCAACTCGCCAAAATATTACATGTCTGGATGCACTCAAGCTTAGGCTCGCGGCTTTATTAGTGTCCGAGAGCAGTCTAAGGGAGTCAGCTCATGACTGAGTTGGCTGACCTATGCTTACAAGCCATGTTCACAGGCAAAAACGGTTGTCGCTCACCTTGTCTTGTGTCTCTTGCAGCTGTGCCAGCTGGCGTTCATGCAGAACATTCCCCTGGATGCCATCCACCAGTTTCGGCGACACGTGGACATCTTCAAGGACCGCATCGGAAACCCCCGGCTTGCCTTCGAACACAGTGCCTGGCTGTCTAAGCAGTGCGTGCACCCACCTGCATTTCTTTCGCTTTTGCATGATAGCTTAGCGTTTGAAGGGCAGCATTCATTTTTCATTTGAGAACGTGGCTTTTGTGTGGGAGCCAGAATGGCTTGCTTTTACATGTACAGTTAAACCTAGATATAACGAAATCAATAAATTCCCAGAAAATTAATTTTAAATGTTGTTATATGCAAGTTCTGTACGAAAATTCGGAAAGTACACACGCAAATTAAACAAAAGGGGGACTGAAGCAGAGCTAACCCAAAACACTTATTTTATTCTGCAGCTGTACCAGGCACTCTTTATAGGATACATTAGCTACAGTGCTCCTGTTCTCTCCCGTGCTCGCACATCAGCTGTACGTACACTCGAGGGAGCTCAGGCGCGTGCCCTAAGAATTTGCCTAGGAGTACCTCAATGCACTTCTACATGGGGCACCATTGCAGAAGCACGTGCTTGTCCAGCTCGTGTTTATCTTCAACACGAACCACTACAAGTACATCTGAGGCTACTGACAAGGCATCGAGACCATCCACTGGCAGGCACTTTTAACACACGACCCAATGCTGCATACTCAGAAGCTGTTATGTCACACCGAGATCTGCTGCCTTCGAATTATGCACCTTATGTTATCTCCGACATACCCCTCTGGACGATTCCTAAGCCGATCGTGCGACTTTCGATCCCAGAAATAACAAAAAAGTCGAAAATACCAGCTGCTTGTCTTAAGCATTTCACTTTGTCGTATATTGACTATATGTATGGATATACATTACACATTTATGCAGATGGCTCTGTCACGCGGACCTCCTCAGCAGCTGTTTTCACTGTGCCTCAAATGGGAATCGCTCAACGCTTCAAAATAGCACACCGGATATCATCTACTGCCACTGAGCGGACCACCATCCGACAAGCTGCGTGCTACATCTTACAGCAGAGTCCAGCGAAATGGACATTATTTTGCGACTCCAAGCCGGCCCTTCAGCTAATTAGAAACTACATGAAACAGGACACTGCATACAGTCTTCTGGTGTGTGACATAATGAATATGTTGAATGAGGCATTTCAATCCGGACATACTGTTGCGTTGTTATGGATTCTCAGTCATCGTGGCATAGCTGGGAATGAACAAGCTGATGCAGAAGCGAAAATGGCACACACTAGGGGCGAAGTGATATTGATTCACTTTTCCCGATACGACATCAACACCTTGCTGTATAAAGGTATGAAGACTTCTATGCAAGGACTATGGAATGATCTGGATTATCCCCACAAGCGCATTTACAGGCTTTACTCTTGTCGTGTTTTTCGCCTTCCGTTCTGACTAAGGAGAGACCAAGAAACGCTACTACATAGACTGCGGCTGGGTGTTGCATACACGCGACGATACTTATGCATGATTGGACAATAGCAAAATTCTAACTGCAACTTGTGTAACGCGCCAGAAATTATTAATCACATCCTGTGTGTGTGCCCTTTATACGTAGTTGAAAGACAATCTCTGAAGTGCCTCACAGATGACCTAGACTGCCGACCCTTTACGGAAGAGAAACTTTTGGGTGCTTGGGAACGTGTGGATCACGCTCAATGCAGTTTAAAGGGCCTGCTCGCATTTCTAAGCAAGACAGGTTTAGATTCCCATGTTTAGAGACTCTAATAATGTAGAGACTTTTGTGCGTGTACTACACCGAACGAGACATTGTGTGCAGTGACTGATTGTGCTATACCACAATCACCTCTCATCATACTCTCCTCTTTCTTTCCCTTTTCCCCTTACACCCGTGTGTAGTAGCAGGCCAGAAACCCGCTTTCAAAGCCGACCTCTCCTTCTCATTAAACACCTTCTTCTTCTTCTTACAGTAAGAAACTGAGTTGTTATTGCGATAGGAATTAAATGGACACTCTTCGCAGGTTTTTGCCATCGCTGCCATGTTCCGTAACAAATCCAAACTGATCACATGCCCCCACACATAGTAACTTTCACGAGCAGGTAGAAGCAGTCAAGCGCTGCTGAAGCAGAAATCAAATGAGTCGGCGAATCGCTATCGCCTGGAAAGTGCATAAAATAACATCTCCCGCGTGTTAGAAGTGCTGTCAAATGCTCAAACAGAAAGTAAACCACTTGTCTTGAATGAGCATGAAACAACGCGGGAGATCTCTCGAGTAGCAACAATGAACTTCGATTTTAAGGGCAGTCGCCATCGCTGGCACACTTGCTATCTCATTGAGTATCAGTGTGGTTTCAACACGAAGGGGCTGTGTGAAACAAGCATTTCTTCCTGAAGCGGCCGTATTTGCTCACACCAGCATTCCGTGATATCGCATCCAAAAGAGTAAGGTGCCGGCCTTACTTCTTATAAGATTACAATTTTTTACTATTGCGTTCATTACATTGCATTCAACGCGCCATCGTGTTGCTAAAACTAATCGGCTAATCGCGAAAGCTACCAGCCTGCGAACTTGCGATGCAGCGCAAGGCGGAAGTGCGAGTTAACCTCCAAAGAATTGTCACCACTGTGGTGTCAGAGAGTTTTCATCGGCGCCTAATCTGACATCCCCTCGGGGGTGACAACACAGTTGTCCAAAATTAAGAAAAGAAAAGTGACAGTTTCGCCGCAAGGGTGAAGCTATAGGGAGGTTTAAAATAACGTTCACAAGATATCAGCAATAATCTGTTGTGATTCTTGAGTAGCGCAGCGTCACTTTCAGCCGAGCAGCGGCGCAGGGCTCAACTCTGTCAAGTGAAAGGTGAAAGTCGAGCCGAGGGGCGTTTGTGAATACAGGGGTTAGAATAGCGCTTGCCTCCCTAGGGAAAAATCTAGGGACTTTAGCCCCTTCTTGCAAACCCAAATGCACGGAAGCTACACATAGCCTCATTACACAACAAAGCCAAATGCACAAACCGAACCCTGCAAATCCAAACAAACGCTCTCTGCAAACCCATATGCATGGAAGCTACACTATGTGTAGGCTACACATAGTATACACATAGCCTCATACATGTTGCGCGCCATTTCAGGTTTTCTGTGGAAAAACCGCAAGCGCGAACGGCAGCTATCATTAGGACGCATGCACAGTAGCAGCGACCGAAACGCAAGGGCTTATGGTGCACTATTCGAAACCTCCCTAACGAATGGGATAGCAACAACTTGAAATGTAACGCTGAGAACGGCAAGCAGATCGAAACATGCAGCGCGTTGCTCACGCACAAATGACGCACAAAAACAACATACACAGAGCAAGAGCAAACTAACGTTTACCATTCGTCACTTAACGTGCTTTTTGAAAAAAAAATTAAAAAATAAAGCGAGGCACAAAACGCAATCACAGGTACCGATATAAGTGCGAACTAACAAGTGCCCCAGTTGTTGTTACTTCGCTGTGTTTGAAAAACACTCTCTTTTCACGAACGGCGCCTGTCTAGTGAGTGGAGCGATCCTTGTGCGCCTGGCAACTAAACCCAATCATTTCGTTCAAAGTCGAAGGTGTGCTATTCTCCCAACCAAAGGTTAAGCGCACACGCACAAGCATCTACTACCCCCCCCCCATATGCGGGACAAAGTACGCATGGCAGATAAGCGCGCGTCGGCGCAACATGACGAGCTGAGCGCGGACGGCTTTTTAATATGCGAATGCATTTCTTATTTGCTCCAATGCCTCCTTTATTTTATTGCCAGTGCGAGTGCGCGCTTCTCGACGGGAGCCGTTGGTGTGCCTTAATTCAGGGTTTGGTTGTGGTGCAGCGCTATATGAGGGGTCGCGCTGCGTGCGTCACACGTACATCTGAGCGTTTTCCTTCGAAGATGGGATAGACGTGTTTCCCACACCAGAGCGAGAGGTACTGGGATCGATACCCAGCACCACCACCAGTGTGACGACGCGAGATTGACGAGCACACAAAGCGCCTCAAACAAATACGACTTATCGATCGCAGGAAAGAGACTGCAATGACTTCTTCCTGTTTTTCACTCGTCCAAGGACACTCGTGCTGCTTCGTTGTCCTCACCACTGGCACATACGCACGGCAATATCATACTTCTGTCTGATTCGCTCCTTCATGCCGCTTATTTCTGGCTCGAGACAATGCCGCCCCGTGTCACAGAGCAGCGCATGCAGAAGCATTGCAGTGACGCTTCCCCATTAGTTGCCTGCATAGCGCCACCAACGGTGACACGCTATCTCAAACCACCATATATTTCACAGAGCCAGCTTGACTGCCATATTGTGAATACGAGAAATCCAAAATGCCGTCCCTGGACCTGTACACAACTGAACAAAAGATTACTTCGGATGATTTCTGTGGTGAGGCACTGTATGACGGGCTACTCTCTCCCATGACCGCAGAGCACAGCCGAAGGCGAGGGGAGAAGCTGGTGAACAGCTGGATCGGGCGCATCTGGCCTGCATCGATAAAATAGAGGAGGCGTTGGCTGACGAACTAGTGACGTCGAGGTCGCTAGTTCATCATCTGGCATTGCAGTTAGGTCGTGGCGTCGGGTCACGGCTGCGTTGGCTTGTTCCGCTGCATCCATGTTGGGTCGTTTGGTCATCATCAGTACATGGGGTTTCGTCGTCAGGGCTTTGCTTGGTTCGGGTGGTGTTCAGAGAGTACCGTCACGGCGGTGGTGGAGGACCTTCGGTAGTTCGTTGCACAGCAACCGTACCTCCAGCGATTGCTGCCTTTAGTTTCCCGGATAAGGGCTAGGAGACTGGCCTCGGGTTGGGCCAGTGTAGGGCCGGTGGTAAGGCGACGTGTAGCGGCCAGGTGACGGCGAACGGTAAGTTCCTCGGGGTGTCTACAGCGCTGCTGCGAGGTAGTCAGCCATGTCGCCGAGTTTTTCCCCGCTGTGGACGCGGCACATCTACGGCGAAACCACGCAGTCCCATCTGACGGTACTGGTAGTGGCGGTAGGTGTGACCTGCTTTTCCACAGTGTTAGCAGAGAGGTCGGTGGTCGGGGGTACGCCATACGTCGGTCTTCCTCGAAGCGTTGCAATGGCCAACAGGTGGACAGTGTGGCATCGACGGCGGCGGTGGCTGGCGGTGGAACTGCGACGGTGTGGGCTCTTGACGTGGGCGTGAAGGGGGAGCGTAACGTCGGGTTGCAGCAGTGTAGCTCATCGCTTGCGGCTGAGGCTGCGGAGCTTTGGAAACTCCAAGCAGTTGCCGAACTTCTTCGGGGACAGTGGCAATTCAGTCCACTTGGGGCTGCAATGAAGGCAACAGCCTTCGTAGCTCCTCCCGAACGATCTGTCGAGTCGTCTCACGCAGGTCGTCTGTGCTGAGGGCACGGGCTTCAGCGTAGTTGGCTGTTGAAGAGCCACGGTCATACTGCCTTGTGCACACCTCAAGCGCCTTCTCTATTGACTTGGCCTCGGTGAGGAATTTGTCAACAGTCTTGGGCGGGTTGCAAACAGGTCCCGCAAACAACTATTGCTTCACACCCCGCATGAGGAAGCGGAGCTTCTTGCCCTCAGCCTTGGCATGATCGGTGGGCCGAAACAGTTTCATCATCTCTTCCACGAAGATAGTGACATTTTGGTTTGGCAGCTGCACCCGGGTCTCCAGCAAAGCAGCAGCCCTTTCTTTGCGGGCGATGCTTGTGAAAGTTTCCGGAAATGCGCAGTTAAAAAGATCCCGGCAGCGAAGTGCAGACTCCCGATTTTTGAACCAGGTCCACGCCATGTCTTCCAGGTAGAAGTAGACGCGGCGCAGCTTTTCTTTCGGGTGCCACTGGTTCAAGCCTGCTACTCGGTCGTACATCTTCAGCCAGGTCTCCGGTTTTTCAAATGAAAATTCGTGGGAGATGGGTGGCTCCTTTGGCTGCTGGATTACGACCATGGCAGGCGGTGGTACAGGGGCTGTCATAGTTGACGCAGTAGTGGTGGTGGCCTTTTGGCCTGCGACTGTTATCGGGTAGAACTCTGTACTCAAGAGGTAGCTCTTGTTGCCGGTGGCTTGTTCGCAAGTCGAGGTTGGTGGGGATGTTTGGTTAACGATTGGAGTTTGGCTCTCAACTGGAGGAGGGCGTTCGGCACATGGACAGGAAGAACTTCCATCAGATCTCAGGTTGTCGTGACGTGAATGAAGGGAGCAGACTGCAGGTCGAATAATAAACTGTCTATTCGGACCGAGCTTGTGGCCACGTAGAAGGAAAGTTAGATTACAGCGAGACACTGGCACTAATAGCGGCGAGCGGAGCGTCGACCGGCAATCATCAGACAAGCGGCGAAGCGTGTCGGTATTTATACCCTTTCCATCAAATATTCTAGCGTGATCGCTAGCGGCAACGTAGGTTCTCGAATAATGTGTATTGTTCACGAAGTGGGCATAATCTAAACAAAACGATCAACTACAGCCTCGAAGCCTCTCGAACATCATAGGCGCAGTCTGTGCTGAATGCAGTCTAACAGGGTGATAACAAAACTTCAGGAAAGCAACATGGCAATATATATAGATACATATACACATAGAGTGAATGACGGCGGCGGCTACGGCAAAAAACCAGCCGACAGTGTCCATATAATTGCTATCGTCATAAAAGAAAAAGCAACGCTGAATGCCATTGGGGGCCACATCATGTGTGCGCAGTGAAACTATGCTTTGAAAACGAAGAGGAAAACTATTTATTTGGTAAAGCGCCCTCCATATGCAGCGCGGCCCCACATACCGTAATTACTCGAATCTAACGCGCACCTTTTTTCCGGTTAAGCGAGTTCATAAATCGCATGCGCGTTAGAATCGAGTACGAACAAAAAAATTACGGTCAATCTATTGCCATCGGCAAATCCAAAATGGCCGCCCCCTACGTGCGTCGGCATGGCACGTCGGCCATTTCTGCCTATGTGTTTCCCCTGTGCGGCACTTCGTACGTGTGCTGAGGAGTTCGTCATCTAGTAGTGCATTAGCATCGTCGGCGTGGAAGGGCCGACTCCACGATGCCGCTTTTAAAAGGGAAGTCATCGCGTGTGCAGAAACGGACGGAAACCGGGCCGCATCGCGGTCTTCGGAGTTCCCGAAACCTGCGTGCGGGACCGGCGGAAACAAAAACAGAAGATTGTCGACAGCAAAGCTTCACGCAAAGGCTTCAGTGGACCACAGCAGGGTCGGTTTCTGCAAATTAAAGAGCAGCTCGGTGAGTATGTGCTTGAGCAGCGAGCGGCACAGCGGCCCTTGACGACAGAACTGCTCCAAGTGCGGGCTATGCAGTTAGCTTTAAAAAAAGGTCTAATGTGGAGCCAGTTTAAAGTGAGCAGGTGCTGGCTAACTAACTTTATGAAGAGTAAAGGCTTTTCCCTCCGAAGGTGAATGGGCATATGCGAAAAGTTTTCCTGAGGAGTACGATGAAAAACTTCACAGTTTTCCGAGGTTCGTCCTAAACTTGCGGCGCAACAACGGCTACCTGCTTGGGCAAATCGGGAATGCCGATCAGACGCCTCTTTACTTCGACATGCCTGGCACCACAACCGTCGAGAAGAAGGGAGTGAAGCAAGTTCGCGTGCTGACATCGGTCCACGGTAAAACTACAGTGACGGCAATGCTCTGTTACACGTCAGATGGGCACAAGCTTCGCCCGTACCTCATATTTAAATGGAAGACACTCCCGAAAGGAGTCGTTTTTTCGAGTGGTGTGATCGTGCGGGCCAGCGAGAAAAATGGGTGCGCATTGCAATCGATTTCTTACGTTTTTTTTTTTTTTTCGCGGTAGAAATCGGGTGCGCGTTACAATCGAGGGCGCGGTAGAATCGAGTAAATACGTTATATGTGACCTTAACTAAATGCGTGCCATTGCCCAACCTAGTCTAGTAATGTTGGCGCTGCCAACGCGCAAAGTAGTCTTTTTTTTGTTTTAATAAGGGGGTGGAGGCCCATGTGCCAGCGGCGGCGAGAATGGCGGCAACGACGGCTCGAAGGGTGCAGGCCCACCTGTCCGCCTCGTGCTCATCCGTACGCAATAACGAGTACTCGCTCTCACCTGGTGTGCCATGCGTGCCGCCACCACTTAGCGCTTCGCCTGTGGCAGGGCAGCCGCGGAAAATACATGCTCGTACCACAATGCCAAAATGCGGAGCGAAATTCCTGGATTTTCTGTGGGGAAAATTCGTTATATGAAGGTTGCCTCGCGCTATTATTTTGTTACATAAAGGTCGCAAATAATTGTGTTTCTATGGGGCAACGGCGGAGAATAGAATAGAAAAAAAATCGTTATATTGGGGAATTCATTATAAAGAGGTTTCTTATAAGCAAGTCTAATTGTACAATCGTGGTTGGCATTTATTGCAGTTGTTCTCAAAGCTTCACTCGGATCTGTGCTCACTACCGCGCAATGCAGCACAGCACTTACGGCTGGACGGTTGATTTGCTGTTGATGCGGTTCATTGTCTCAGAGTGGCTCAGGCTATGAAAGATGCTGTTCAGGAGGGCTCCAGATAACTTTTACCATCTAGAGTTCTTTAACATGCACTGACATTTGACGGAGCACGGGTCTTAGCACTTTGCTTCAATTGAAACATGACTGCTGCAACTTGGGTCGACCTGAGTCTTTCAGGTCAGCAGTCAGGCACTGTACTTTGAGCCACTGCAGGAGATTACGTCTGGCTGGCAGAACAGCCACAGTCTGGTCTGCATTTGCATCGATACTAACATCTTGCATTTTTTGAAATTTCTAGTTTCAAGAGGCACTTGATTTTGATTCAGAGCAATGCTCCACATTCGCTCCATTTCTCTTCACAACTCTGACTTACTGTAAGTTGAAATCCTCAGCAAGCTGAAAGGGGACGATGAAACGACGAGAGTATTGCTCCAGCCTCCCGGTTTGCTTGGCTGATGAAATGTGCCAGATTCGTTCCTCAGATTGAAATAACCAATTCTGTTACTGTAAAACTTAAAACTTGTGTGCTCTTGAGGCGCTCAGGCCACTACATTGTACAGTTACTCATTCTCAGCCATTTACCAGTGCAGTCATAATCAAAGTGCGCAGAGGTTTACGATTTACTGCTCAGAGCCAGTTTTTCATCAGTATCCTAAATGCACAGTGAATGAGGCTGCACATTTATAAGTCTGCAAAACTTGCTGCACTATGGTTCGCAGGAAAAAGACGTGAACTGCAAGCAAGATGCAGAGTTTACGAACTTAGTGGAACTGTATTGAGTCGTTGAGGTAATGTCTATTGCAGTGGGGTTGGCTTGCAGATGCTGGGTCACGAAAAGTTTGAAGCCAAAGTTAAATATTGTAGACGTGTTGTCTGACTCCGTTGTGTGAAGAGCTGCATCCCAAGAAAATAAAAAATGACCCTTTCATGATGTCCCAAAATCATGCCAGTACTCCTTTAACATTTAGCTGAGTACCTCTACTGTTTTCTTAGGTTGGCCAAGTCTCTTGTGCTCTGTGGGCTTTTTTGTCTTTCATCTCGTATTTCGCACTGTACATATCAATTTAATAAGTGTCAAGACCAAGCCAGGCTGTCTGTCTTTTTCTTTTGCCTATGGTTATTCAGCAGATAATTGTATCGATTGCACGGCCGTCCAGGTGTTGAGAGTAAATGCTGTTTGGTGGTATCGTCCAGGTTCAGCCACTTCGGAGACCTGTTTGAGGAGGCCGTGAGCTTTGGCCTGACTGCGATCCAGACGCAGCACCCGGGCTTCTACTACCAGCAGGCGGCCAACCACGCCCTCGCACGCAAGGAGCAAGCAGCTCGGCTCTGCAAGGTGGGCACTGTACTGTTGTTTAAGCAACGCCTGTGAAATGTTCATGGATGCGCAGTTGTTCGGCACTGTTCATAGCAAGATCTACTAGTAAAAGGATGATTACTAGACGTGTGCGAATATTCTACTGTTCAAATATTCGAAGTACAGAGCGTGAACGGAGGCATTACAGGAAGTCAGCTTCTGTAGCACTGTCCTAATACAATGTGCATGAAGAGCATTACTTACCAAATGACATAATGAGCAGTGCAATATAAAGCAGTTAATTACTGCAGCACTAGTAACAAAAAAGAAACCAACAACAATAGCAAAGACAGAACGAGGCCTGTGCAGATATTCAAATGCATCAACATTGGAACAAATAATGGAGTATTTCAATTTGCTTTGAATCGAATTTGACTTATTGAAAATTTTGAATTATTCAAAAGGGAAAAATAGGTGCGTATTAGTTCACATATGACTTTTTGCAAAGGTGGTTTCACTGCAGTGGATTGGTGCTAAGCCATGAAAGCACCCGTTCAGGTGTATAATAATTTGCATGTAAACTCCTGTAAAAGTAATTCTACTGTTGTGAAGTGATGCTAAGCCACGAAAACATGTATCAAGAAAAGTTCTGCACCGCCACAAAGCCCCACTTCAAAGTTTATGAGGTTATTACCCTCACATCAATAGACCCTTTTCATAACTCGCAAGCGCACTTCCCGGCACTGCATACTTGCCCCACTAACGGCAGCACCTGTCCTACTTCAAATGAAGACCAGGTCCTAGTTAAGCACACTGGGGCTCGTCTATTACGCACATTAATGTCGAGATAGCTAAACCTACATTTTCATGTCATAGCGCAAGTAAACTGCGCTTGAACATTCTGTTTGCAGAAAGAGACTCGCCACCATTAGTAGGGCAAACTGCATAGCAGGAAAGCTAGCTTTACAATTATGAAAAGGGTCTATTTATTTATAAGTTTAAAAGATTGTTATACCAACTTATATGCTGTAAGTATAGCCAATTTCAAAAAGTAACATAATTTTGCAGGCTATCACTTGCGATACAAAATGCAGTCGTTGGCAAATATTTTTATAGTTGAAAACATGTTATGCAGGAGATCATTAACGAACATGAAAAAGAGTAAAGGTTCGAGGAGTCTACTTGTGAATATTCGAATGAATAATACAGTAATTGAATTTGGTTTAAATTGAAATAATTTATTGAAATTCTTGAATTACTTGTAACGATCTAATAAATGCAAAACAGTCCGCATGTAACATCTTGTGAAAGTGGTTTCACTGGAGGAGAAGGGTGCTAAGCCATAAAAGCACCTGTCCAGGTCTATATCAATTTGCATGTAATTTTTTGTCGAGGTGGTTTCACATCAGTGAAGGGGTGATAAGTTGTGAAAACACATATACAGGATAAATTTGCACTGCGGAGACGCTTTCAGGGCTGAGACAGATGGGCATATTGCGCATTTTTTATACATATCTGTTTTCTTGCACCAAGCTGCTCCAAAAGCATAAAAATTGCGAAAATAGCACGGAACTGCTTCAAAACAGCCTTAAAAGCTAGAATTTTGATGCCAACCTCAGCCTTAGTATGTAGAAAAGGCCAAATTTACTAATAAGACGCTCCCAGTTGTGTTTGTTCTTACTTTGCACCTTACTGGTGACGAAGGCTCCCGTGCTTGGTGCCGCCATAATCTCCTCTAAACTGTTGTAAATATGCGTGACCCCGCAAAAAAGCTGCCATGCATCGGGCGTGCTGCTTCTACTAGCTAGCCTGTGTTTTCTGGTGCCTCTGTCGCCTAGCAAAAAGCACAGAGTCGAGTGGCGAGCGTAGTGGAGTTGGCTCTCAGGTTCTTTGTTGTCCGTAGCGCATTCCTCCGGTCGCTGCAGTTTTCATGTCGACGCTGCTGCATGCGGTTACCTACAAGTGCGCATTTGCCGTGAGCCTGTAACTGTAAACGTGGAGTCATTTTCCTGCACCCGACGCATCTCCTGAATTCTCTGGCGTGTGCACATGGGCTCTCGAAATGGGTTCCATCAGTGACAGATCGCGTTCAATTTATTCCCGGTTTACGCCCACGCTACCAAATTATTTAGGCAAGCGATTTCTCATTGCATTTAAAAAAAGCCATCACACGCGAAATATGCACATCAGTGTCCGCAGGCAGAGAGACTTGGGCAAAGCCGTGGTGACAAACCACACGTTCAAACCATTTGAAATGATATTAACGGCCACCTTGTCGCTTTATTCGTGACTCATAACTCGTCGGTGATCTCGTGGCACAGTTTTCATGAATGGCGATTTGCCACAGCTACGTTTTGTAATCCAAACTTGCAACGAGCGCTTGAAGAGACATCACTGCGTGCCAGCTCTGGGCTCTACGAGCTTTTAGGCTTAGCTTTATGTTTGATCGGTGTTTCGGTCGGCGGCCGTTCCACATTGTGACTTTGTTTTCTGCCTTTTATTCTTTTTTTTTTTTTGCTGTGAAACCGGCTTCTGTACGTTCAGCGGTTCGTTTGCGTGAACACGAATTTCTTACTTGCGCTGCGCGGTGTGAGCGCTTTATGCGAGTCACGGCACAGGCGGAAATAGCAAGTCAATGTATTATCGGGAGTTGCACATCGACAGTGATGACCTACGATATTAAAAAATGGTAGTGGCTTAGCTAAGCTGTGCCAGGATATACGTAGCGTTAGCAAAAATTCAGCTGATTATTCTTAGCTTTCCAGATATCATGCTTACAGCTGTTCCAATGACACACACACGATATACGTATTATGTGGCACATGTATATTTATTTTGCTGCGCAAATACTTCGGGATCCGATGAGTTAAGCTTCTCCGCTCTACTGCACCGTTGAGCAGCATTTTCACTCTCCTTCTCTATGGCTATATCACAGTGGCAAACGCCAGTCAGAGGGGCTATGAAGCGGCTCCAGCGCAGTGTCAGATGGTGACTACACAGGGAAGGCGCTCACGTCGGCGTCCATATGGCTACCAAGGCTATGACGGCACTCCTCTGGAAAGCGCACTCCGGCGGCGGCGAGTCGCGCGCGGCCGCAGCCGAGTGCGAGGGAGGTGCCGGCTCCGGTGCGTGACACCACTGATCGTCTGCGCAGCGCATCGAATTGCGCTCACGTCGGCGGCGAGCCGCGCGCAGCGGCGGCGGAGTATCATTGCGCATGCGCAGACCAGTGCCACGCGAAATTGGCTCAGCGAGGCCAGTGTAGCTAACACTACAAAAATATAATTCACCCACGTGTGCCGTACTAATAACACGCAGTTGCTCGCGTGGAGATGCGTTATCAGTACCATCCGCTTATTTAGTGCCATACGCACATGCTGTACGAGGTAGTCGGTGCGGCGATGTTTCTTTGCTCCCGCACAGCAGTCTTGAAAAGGGTCCCGCACGAGGTGGCCGGGAACAGGTGCAGCGCAGTTTTGTTGTCTGTTAAAAGCATATGACGCTATCATGTCCGGCTTTTCTTTAAGCGAAGGACTACTGTTACATAACTAAGATTCTTGGGCAATCACAGTTTTTTTTTTCATTTCTTTTTGAGTGTGATGCATTTTTCTTTTTCAGTGTTTCTGGGGAACCTAGTTTTCAATAAAACTTTTTTTTTGGAATACCATTTCGCCTGTGTTATGAGAGCTATAGATAGGTCACGTGGTATGTAAAAAGGTAGTGCAGTTGATACCTGGCAAGAACCTGTTTGAAAACTTCTTTCGAAATCTGTTTAAGTGTTATGTGTATTATAAGCCAATTAAAATATGCACTGGGGCCCCACATTTATAAAAATTTGTATTTGCAAGCTCCCAGGATGAGATTAAATGCCGTAACTGCTCCGAAGCAAGGTTCTCCCGCTCCAAAATAGAAATTTTGTTGCTCACAAAACTGCTCCCAATTTAGTCTAAGCCATCTCACCCCTGGCCTTACTTCAAGTTTAAAAGAAGATATTACCCCAATGTCAGTGTACTTTTTTTTTTGCAGTTTAAAAGCTCATTATACTCACTTATATTCTCGAAGTATAGTGAATTTTAAAACGTAACATATTTTACAGGCTGTCACTTGCATTCCACCGAAAGTCAAGTTCTGGTATCATTTAACGTTGCTTCCACTTCCGTTCAAACCAAAAACATTTGCACAAGCCCTGTTTCAAGTTTCAAAAATGCTGTGCAGGTTAGTCCGGTCAGGATAAATATGCTAATTTTTTTTAATGATATGTGGCATATATTATTTGAATTCTACGGCAAATATTTTACTGAATAACTATTCGCTTCAAATTTGCTTAGAACCTAAAACTCGCCATTTGCACATGCATACTCATCACGCTTGTCTTTCTTCTTCCTCTGCTAGGATGTGACCTCTCCTCCAGATGTCAACATGCTTGAGGGAGAGGAATCTCTAGAGTTCTACGGCCAAAGACCATGGCAAGCCAAAGTACAAGGTAGATTGCTATGAAAATATCTGAGCTATTGCATTGTATTCAAGATGGATCTATTCAAGATCATGTGTTTTAGGTAGGGATGTGCAAATATGAAAATTTTCAAATACACATCGAATACAAATTTATAATCTCAAAAGTTTGTTTCATTGGGCTAGTTGGTCTAACGTGGTAAAAGGTAAAAACATTGCTAACTAGAAGAGACAAACAAAGAAATTGGAGACAGGGCGAGCACTGGCTGACTGTTTTATTGCTTCAATGCAATATAAAAGAAAAAGTTGCGGGGTAAGAAGTCACGTTACTGTATCATGTCATGTTTGTATTGTGTTTTGTCGGATGGCTTGAAAATTCATGTTACTTGTTACGTCTGCGCCTTTTTCCTTTGCATTGCATCGAAGCAATAAAACAATTAGTTGTTAGTCAGCACTTTTCCGGTCTGTTATTTTTTGCCTCTTCTAGTTTGCGCTGTTTATTTACCTTTTACCACTAATACGAATAGACTATCAAATAATAAAGAGATGCAATTTTTTTCACCAGTCATGTTTTACTTCGCACGGCCGGTACCACGCGATGTGGTTTTATACATCACAGGAGGATTCCGGCAGATAGCGCCACGGTATGCCCTCGCCCGCAATAGTTTTCTAGCAATTTTTGTTGATTTTCATGATGACTGCACTCGTAAATAGGAGTGATGGGGTTAAAGCCCTGGCAAGATGGCAAGACTCGAAGGAAGGTAAAGGCGATCAGGCGATCAGCGGTATTGCTGAAGTGACATTTAATTCAAATAATGGGCCCTGCTGTGGTAATCTAGTGGATAAGGTACCGGCTGCTGACCCGCAGGTTGCAGGATTGAATCTCGGCTGCGGCGGCTGCATTTTTTTTTTTTTTTTTTGATGGAGGCGAAGATGCTGTAGGCTTGTGTACTCAGATTTGGGTGCGCGTTATAGAACCCCTGTTGGTCGAAATTTCCGAAGCCCTCCTCTAGGGTGTCTCTTATAATAATATAGTGGTTTTGGGACATTAAACCCCACATATCAATCAATTGAAATATTGGGTTCATACTGAGGCCTCAGCTGCTTGTCTACTTTTGGTGAAAATTTAGCTGAGATGTTTGAAACAGTTGGGCACATTGTACTGCGTAAGTAATGTCGGGTGGGGCTTTGGGTGGTTCTTACCATATTTACTCACGCTGTGATTTTACTTTTTCATTGATAAGCTAGCCCAAACTTGGATATGCTACTATTTTGAGTGAAATTTTCGGGAGTCGAATTAGACTGCAGCATGCAAACTAGTTGCAGGTTAAAATTCTTACGATGACTGCTGTACTTTGTAAACAAAGAATGCAATGCCAAAAAGGGCCTGTGATTGGGTTGGAGGCACATGTTCCCCTTGTTTTGCACACATCAATCCACAAAAAGTATGGTGGGTATGCGGCAAATTCCTCCATTGGTCGCCGACAGTTGAGGCTTATCAGACAGCTACAGCACGTATAGCTACTGCCATCTTCGAGAGACGGAGGGAACCAGCCATTTTTGTTGACACTCAAGAAAAGAGCACAGGACCCTAGCTGTTTGTAGAATCACTGTAAAACTGCAAAGAAAACAAAAAAACAAAAAAAGGGAAGCATGAACTGCGCAGACGAAGTTAGCTGGCACTTGCACGCTACAAGTTAAATGAAAACGATAAGTGAGCAGTTATGTAACAAAGGGAAGCCTTGGAAAATGATGGAAACAATGAGTTTGGGGAATATGCCACAGGCCAGCAGCACGTATCACGTGCCTGCCATTTGTTTTGTGGTGCTATGTAGGACATCATACAAAGCTGGAAATGTGTGATCTCGTGCCGTAGTATAGGTCTGTAATGCATTGCTGCAGTGAGAAACTTGCTGGAATTGCACTCGTCAGGCAATTTGCAACATTGAAAGGTATGGGAGACATAGCTTCCTTTCATTGCACTTTAACTTAATATACTGAATAAGTCCTCAAATGGTTTGTTTCTCCATATTTACACCCGCAGCGTGGTGTCGCCGTCCTGGTGATGATTGACAACTGCCTTGGCTCCAAAATGAATTTAACGCAGGTTTTGCCCCTCTATCTTTGAGCCATCTAACACGTTGCTCTTCTTGCAGCATAGCCCGAGTCGCTTTTGCACTAATAAACCCAAACAAACAAACCTTTCATCTGCAGGAAGGGCTGAAGCACTGGATCCACAATTTGAGGACCTCGGAATCCAGGCACTGCAGTACAGGGAGAAGACGCAAGTGGACCACTCGGTTTGTGCCTTTTCTGTCACTCTTATGTTACTGAATTCCATGTCTTCACACTCACATGACAGATAGTGGCCTTTAACGTCCCTTACCCTTAAGGGGGGACGCGGCTTTGGAAACGCGAAAAATGGCAGAAAAATCGATTTTTTGAAAATCAAGTTTTCAGTTTCTGGAACACTTTTTCTACCTGGTTCCAAAATATCTATACTGAAAACCGTGCAGAAGTGCTTCGGAAAATTCGTATCACCCACCTAGGTAGCGAAACTTTTTCTGGAAATCGCGAGAAAACGTGATTTTCAAAAAATTATGGCTTCACGATGGCGAGGCCGGGAACCGGCTTCTTGGGCTCATCGGAAAGAGCATTTCTCCGTGTTTAACTTTCCCGCCTCAGCTGGCTCCTCCCTTTGAAAACAAGCGCACAAAAAGCAAATGTTTGAAGGTCGTTTCGAGGCCCTTGATTGGCTGTGGCCGCCATGTTGCCTCAGCTCGCCTCGCCACTGGCCCGATGCTCGCTCCGGGAGATCGTCGTCTGCTGCTTGTGCGTCGCGAGGACATGGCTCTCGAAAATCGCCGCTTCGTGACGTGTTCATAGCTTGATGATCACTTAAGATATAATTACGCTTCATTTACGAGCAGTAGGCGGATGCGCGATCAGGTTACTACAAGCGGGCGCGCAATCTACGAGCGCGGCGCGTCTTCGTAGTCGTCTTTAGCCCTAACTCCGCCGACATTGAGACTACAGGCAGGAACGACGCGCTAGCGCACTCGTAAGGAATGAAGCACATCACTCGCTAGCTCCTCTGAACCATGTACGGGCATTTTACACATCGGTAGCAGACAACGCGGTCAAGCTCGTCAGCCCCCCCCCCCCCCCCCCCCCCCTTCACTGCCAAGGATTGCTCGGAACAGTGGCTAGCAGTTTCGCGCGTCGTCGCTCGAAAATGTGATGCCAAGCACAGTGCGCGCCGATTTTTTGTCATTATAGTTACACATTTCGCGCATCGTCACCGAACGCTACCGGCAAGTGCATTACGCGCCGGCTGCACAGTGCACGTGACCGCGCACTCCACGGTCATATGGAGTGCTGTCAATAAGCTTTTGTGATGCGATTTAGACGTGCTTGGAGTCGTGCTTGATATCACCACGAACGTCTAAGAATGTTTATAGGCAATTAAAGCTTCTTAGATTAGAGTTTCAGCGACCGGCTGTATGATGATGCGTTTCAGGGCTACAGTGGCAAAAGAGCATGTATGAACCAAGGGCACGAATATTTATATGCCCGTTTCGCCTCATTAGTTATACTGCTACAAATTCCTGTGCCACCAGTCTTCTGCCCATAACTTTGTTATTTGGAAAGAAGGCATAGGCCGTCATGGTGTGATCATTTTTCTGATGCAATAAACTTCTCTCCAAATAAAGAAATGTTCAGTGATTATTTGTAATCAAGTACTTAATTATGCTAATTACAACTTCAGAGCAAAAAATATGTGTAATCATTTCAGTATATGGTCTTATTCAATTACAATCTTTTCCGTCATACTTATCACACCACTCCTTCATGTAAAGAACTTGGTTTGAAATCCATACTTGTTCTTTGTAAATCATGAAAAGGAGTAAATCATGAAAAGAAGTCAAATATCACGAGACAAACCTGAGATCACAATTTTTAGGCGTCTTAGAGACTTAAAGAAAAGTTGAAACTTTAAACGCAGTTTTTTCAATACTGTTTTTTTGACATTATGCTCAGCCCCTCCACGTGGTTCAATAAAAAAATAATTTGTCTCTCATTAAGTATTTGTGGTATTGTTTCAAAAATTTTATGGAAGCACTGTGAGGTCATTCTTAGTGTCTGTGCTAATTTTCATTAATATCCAACGAGAAACAAGAAAGTTCATCGAAAAAAGCCTGCCGAAAACTTCGATAGGCTTTTTCTCACAAGTGTGTTTTAGACATTGTGCATTGCCCGTGGAAAGAGTAGCACGAGAATGACTGGACCGATTTTGATTCTGTTTTTTTTCCTGAATCCCTGAACACTGCTTGTGGGTACAGCAATTTTCAGTTTCTGTTTTATGGCCATGTGTTTTTTCTAGACGATGATTTGTCCATGCCACTGTTTCTGACAATGTGTTTCAGCAGCCATGATGATCTCTAAAAAAAAAAAAAGAGTTTATTAAAGAATTCTGAGAGTGCCATACCCAGTAGCTTTCTTTTGAGTAAAGATCAACACAATTCGCAGCTTCCTGGCATGCTTTGTTACAGCGCTAGGCTTTCCACGAGCAGACCATGTAATTGGACCATGTAGCATTATGTAACTTAAGAACTACTGAAGATATCATGATGAAACTGCATATTTCCCTATTCGAGACACTTATGAGTATGCATGCCAAATTTCATTGCTGTAGGTCAACAAACAAAAAAGTTTTTTTCAAAGTCACCTCCCCCCTTAAACCTTGACTATGTGTCACTGAAAACTTACTGAAAGGTTGCCTTCATTAAATTGTGTGATTGTAGGCTTTAATCTCACAAGGCAACTCAGCTTACGAGAAACACCGCAGCGGAGGGCTCCGGATTCACTCAAACCTCGTTATAACGAAGTTGAATGGGGCCACAATTATTTCGTTATATCCATTATTTTGTTATATCGATTATAACAGTTTGTGGCAATGTATGCTCAGATGGGCGCACACCTATAAGCATGCAAAGAAGGAAACCGCCTCGCGGCCCGATGTACCGCTACACGACCACGTGTGCCACGGAAAATAAACTCAGTCGAATCTCATTAATTCAAGACTCTTAATTCGAATTGCCGGTTGATTCGAACTCGCGCTGAGGTCCTGTCAAAGCTATCTGTTTTCCAATGTGCGAAATCGCCCTGTAATTCGAACGCGCAAGCACTTGCGAAGGTTAATTCGAACGTACCGCGCTCCGAAAATGCTCTCAGCACCATGCTCGATCCCACAACGGCACCTCTCAACACTGTGCACGAAGAAGGGAAAGAAGAAAAGGAATGAAAAGACTGTAGCGGATTGTTTGCTCCCTCTCAAATGCCAATCTGCGATGCGCCTGTGTCTCGCTTCTTCCTTTTTCGTCTCTGCACGTAGAGACCCTTCTCCTTTCAAGGCAGCGTGTGCAGAATAAAAAGAAAAAAAGAGAGCTGTCGCGGAGAATCCTCCTTTCCCGGTGCAGTGGGTAGCAGCCATGGTAGCAGGGGAGACGCAGTCATTGCCGTCGTGAGAGGGAAATCCCATTGCACCGCGGCACCGCTTCTCGGTCATGTGACCCGCTGAACGCTTCTTCAATCCTCTCCGCTGGCTTTGTGAGAAGGACGGCTCTCTCGGCCGCGGGGGGCGTGGCTGTAAGGTTGGCCCGGGAGTTTTGAAAGAGCCTCGTTGAACGAGCGTCAAACTCCGAAGAAAATGATATGCTTAACATACTACGATGGGTTTTTTTTATAGAGTACTTGATAGACTAATTTAGTTTGTTATGTTCATTTACCAGTCAATTTTACTTTGTTACAACAAGGTTTAAAATGCATAGTTCTCAATGGAGCTTTCAAGGGGAATTTCATTTACTTTGTTATGTTTATTATTTCGTTATATACTGTTACAATATAGTGAGGTTTGAGTGTAGTTTCAACCACCTGGAACGCTTTAATGTGCTCCTAGATCACACACTAGTCAGGTTCCTAGCATTTTGCCTCTTTTAACATGCAACTGCTGCAACCGAGATCGAACTTGCAACTTATGGATCAGCATACAAGTACCATAACCACTAAGCTACCACGGCAGCTCTGTTATCTTATCAGTAGGTCAGAATGTTATGACCGTAAAGCATGGCACTGCCAGTTGGGCATGTTGGTAAAGGTTTATGATGAAACAGCGCAGTATGCGCAGGCTTAGATAGAATACAGGGCGGAGCGCTCTGTCGTATGGTTAACTATTGGCGTGGGATCAGAGTAGGCCAGACACACAGCAGAATAATTCGACTCTCCGGCCCTGTGCTTACATTTCGATCCAATTCTAATCATTCAGAGGTCGTTCTGTATTAATTCTATGAGACAGAATTGTGCCCTCACCCGTTCTGTTCCCATCCTTCATCAACATGATTAACATCACTGCCGCTTGCTGTTGCTAGTGTCACAAAAAAAAAAAGGTTCATTTTTAGGGCAGACGAGGTTGCCTGTTCTGTTCTGCATACCGTAAATTGATATCCCAAGCAACCACCACCCCCACAATGAAAGGTAAATGGCGAAAATCTGGAGAGGGGGCCCGGACTAGGTTGCAGACCAAAATTGAAGATGGCAGCCTTGTAGCCCTCAAGACAAATGAACACTCGTGCTTCTAATAAAATACTTTATTGAATACAGTAGACTCTAGGTAAACGGAAATCTGTTAAACGGAACTACTGCTTAAACAGAACTATTGCCTCTGCAATGCTTGGTTTCGGCCTTGTATTCTGCACCTATGTTCACCTTTCAGTAAACGAAACTCCTGTTAGATGGAACATATTTTCCCGGTCCCTTCAGGTTCCGTTTACTGAGAGTCCACTGTACAGTTAAACCTGCATACAATGAACCTCGATACAACGAATTCCTCTATATTATGATGTTTTTCTATACCACGCTGTTACTCTATAGAAGCACATGTATTTGTGACCACTGTGTAACAAAGTAGCGGCAGGAAGCCCACTTAATACAGCGATTTTTCAGTGCCCACAACTTGGGAATTTCGCCCCAAATTTTGGCGTTTTGGCTCAACCATGCATGTTATGTGGTTGCCCTGTTGATGATGAAGTGCGAAGCAGGGGTGGCATGCACTGCACACTTGAAGTGCCGGCTAACGCGAGGCAAGCCCTCAATACTGCACGTGGGTGTGCGCGAGGCAGGCCAGCGTTACTGCCAGTATTGCTGCTGTGGGCACATGCGCTGCGGAGATCGCTTTTCTAAATAGCGTTTTCTCATACTCTTGTCCTTAGCTCTTCGTTTTCGACGCCACATGCGCGTGTGTGGTTTCACTGTGCATGCATGAAGTTTTTTTTCTTTTTTTCTTTTTTTGTAAATGTGGACAACCTTATGTTATTATTACTAAGTAGATGTCAGATTAGGTGCTGATGAAAACTGTCCCAGACTATGATGACAACGATGGATCTTCGGAGGTCGACTTGTCAGGAGCTTAGGCGTCTTGCACCCTGCCACGTGTTCATTCACGAGACTGTGGACTCCAGCAATGCGCCATTGCGTTGCCAGAGCCAATTCTGGAAGTTATGGCTAGACAATGACTGAGCAGCGTTGTATTGATGTCCTACAAATTTTTATTGGAGAGATAAAATGAGTTTTACCACATAGTTGAGTGAAGCAATATTGCATTAGCAACAAGTTTTAATACGAAGTAGCGCTAGCAGCTAACTTTTTTGGATCTGATATCGTATAACTCTGATAAACACTGGTGGAAGGGAATGCGGCTGCCCCAAGGAGAAATGCTTTTTTCACACTGTCTCTTTTTACTTAAAGGTGCAGCATGAAAAAGGGCATACAGTCAAACAGGGTTATATCGAACTCAAAGGGTATCGCGAATTACTTCGATATATGAAAAATTCGATATAAAAAAATAGAGGCCCCGAGCTCTTACCTGTAGCGGATCATCACCTAGAACAGGCGCAGTCAAGAATGACAACTAATTCCGTACACATGTCGCAACAGAATGATTTATTAGCATCACAGAAATTGCTAAACTTGGCCTGCTTCTTCGTTTTTAAAATTTTGAAGACTAAGTACGCGCGTGTACCCATCGCCTCATTCGGGCGATCCTCCTCTTTGCAATCCGATTCCATGTAGTCGTCCGCAGAAACTTCGTGTGGACACGCTGTCGGGAAGCGGGAATACAACTCGCGAAACGCGTCGTCTATACGCTCGTCGTCGCCTTCACCGGTGTCCGCAAGTTCTGCCGTCTCTAAGCCTGCCTTGCAGAAGCAGTTGACCACTATGTCTGTCTTCGCATTTCGCCAGGCATTGAAGATCTTCGCAGGAGAAAACTTGGTGGATATTTCCGGCCACTTCTTTGTCATCCACAGCTGGATGTTCTGGCTGGTGACAGCTTCGCTTTCGCCAGAATTAGTTTTGCCAACGATGTTGTAGCGTTGCTTAAATCGGTGATGCCACCCGGTGTTGTCGGTGCAGTTGTTTTACCAAGTGCAGTGGCAAACCATTTGGTCTTGGCGATCCTCGTCGGGCCATCGACCGGAATGTTCTTCGCGCGCACTTCTAAAAACCAGGCATAGAGTGCCTTTTCTACATTCCGGTGGGCAGAAGCGCACACATAACAAGCTCCCGACGTTTGCTGCTCCGCCGCCTTTGCCTTGATATCTGTCTTGTTTTTCAACAAAGTACTCAGGTTGCTTTGTAATATCCCGAAGTTGTTCGCGGCAGTCGAACATTTCTCGCCTGCTTCCACACGCTGAATAGCCTTAAACTTGTCGCAAAGTCAAGGGTCTTGCGCTTCGTGATGCTGGCCATAGCTACACGAGAAGTCTACAATTCAAGGAGTTCGCAGCAGCTTTGCACACCACGCACGCAAAAGGAAAATGCTGCACATGCGGTGGTAGGGAGGCGACGTGACAGCAGAAGCAACAAAGCCCTCGCGAGGCGATGGCCACTTACAAGGGCAACAGCAAAAGGTGTGAGCTGTGGTTGGCTGATCAAAACTCGCAAAACAGCAACAAAAAAAAGAAAAGGCAAAAGGAGGAGGGCGTCGGCTCCTTCATTCCTGCTCTCCGAGCTGTCGGGTACGGGGAGAAAGCATCAAAGAAAGAAGGAGAAACGAAAAAAAAAAAAAAGCCGTTCCGCAAGCTAGGGATAGTGCAGTCCGAGCGCTCTCAAAAAACGGCTTCCAACTCACGCGCGGAGCCGCGCTGCCGCGAAGATCGGGACAGGGGGGCGGGCGAGTGTCGAAGTGCACCTTTTAGCTCGTGCGGCGTTCGATATATTCGAAGGTGGGTAAAAATAGCGTTCGATATAAACGAGTGAATTTCTATACTTTTACAAAGGAATTTCAAGGGGATAACTTGCGAGTTCGATATAACCGAAAATTCAATATATGTAGGTTTGATATAATTGTGTTCAACTGTACGAGCAGTACGCTGATCCTTGCCAAGATAGCGTGCGCGCTAGTGATCCCGACTGAGTGCCTAGAAAGTTCACAGTTTCTGCTCTAACAATGCTCCCTCTTTTCGTGTCGTTTAATTCATGAAAGACAAGTGGGGTGTTTCTTCGCTGCGTGGGAGGATTTATCGACTGCGCCCTCGAAGCGGCGAAGATGGGCCGGCTTGTTTGGTCTTGCCTTGTGCAACGGTTGTCATCCCTGCTTTTGAGCTCTTACCTTCGGGTAGCACTTACAATGCGTGTGGGGATGTTATCAATTTAGGCTTTATACAGAACATGACGGCAAAAACTCAGTGAGTGTGTCCATGTAACTGCTGTCGCAATAATAATGCAGCATTTTATTGCTAAATAAATGTTTTAGGTGGGCTTTGCCTTCAGTTTCTTTTTTGTTTAGTTTGTTTCTATTTTGAATGAAACCAGTTTGTGATGAATTTTCTTGAGACTTGGTTAATTTCTTTATATCCAGGTTTAAGTGCACACCTGCATTTACTTGAAGGGTCGATTTGCTGGCTAGTCCCACAGTAAACTAGCGGATAACCACTGGTTTCCTGTACAATACTGCGTTTGCAGTTTTTACCAAATGGGAGGGACTCTTCCGGTGAAATTTTGAGTGTTATGACAAAAGAGGAAAGACGTTTTTCAAATGTTACGACAATTCGTGACAGCTCAGATGCAACACTGAGGCGCACATTGCAAAAGTACGAAGAAATCTTGCATGTATGTAAAGACTTTCAGAACTTGGTTTCGTAGGAACTGCAGCTGTAAGATTCTGTTGCAGAGAACAGGTTTAAAATAAATAAATTAAATAAATAAAATGGCGGGAGGAAAGGGGGGGGGGTTGCTCTTCTCTGTTTATTGGCACAAATTTCAAATCTCGAACAGGGGAAGGGGCACTTGTGCGATATCTTGCGGTATATTGTGTGCTCTGAAAGGTCGACAACCTGCCCATCTTTGCAGGGCCTGGTGGTTCCCCTGTTGAGCAGTGCGGTGGCTCAGTTCAAGAAGTACCGCTGCCCCCGCATGAAGAGGCACCTCAGTGAGTGGACACGGTTTGCCTCCACCGTCTTTCCAAAACCACTCGGCACTTGGTCGTTGTGCTTTTAATCATTCCGTAGGGTAATGTTTGGTATAGTGAAGGCGTAGTTAATATTGGTACGTTGAGGGATGCAGCATGATACAATGCCACATGAAAATTGAGAAAATGTATATGGTTCAATAGTTCTGCAGCCGTTATCTTTTTGATATTCTTGAACAAAGATGATAAATTGCAGAACATTTAACGGTATCTCGCGTCAGGGCATGTAGTGCGAAGGTGAGATAAGTGCTGGTCATCAAGGGTAAGAGACTAGATTCCAAGTGCGTGGGGTTGATGTGTCTGAAGCAAGCACAGTCACAAGTTTATTGGCATAACATTGCAGAGGCCTTTGCCCTGCAGTGGGCGTAGTCAGGCTGATGATGATGATTTTAACACGACATTTATGAGGACTCATATATTTATGAGGATTTTACTTTAACTGTTATCCATATGTACTACAGAGATATTCTATTTCCTTTTTTGTCACAGTGATCTCAGGGAAAAGAAGAAAAAAGAAAGATTAGAAAAATCATGAAACAAAATTTTCACATCCAAACTGCTATGGCAGTAAGCCATTGCTGACTTTTCTCAAGTATTCGTCTTGCTCTCTCTCTCTCTTCAGTGGTCCAGATTGCGGAGGAGTACTACTCCAGCTCCGACTATGACAAGGCTCTGAGGTGAGTGTGGCTTTCACCTCACGTGGTTTAAAATGTGTGGCCAAGTGCAAACGAATGGATATGTACCGCATATATTCACTCTTCAAATCAAAGAGCAAAAATGTTCCTTCAGCTAGAATTTTCTCCCATTATTGGGAAAGTTGGGTCAGCATGCAAGAGCTGAGAATTGACTTTGAATACTTCTAAACTTGAGTGTGTGCCCTGAAACATTGTGCGTGAGTACTTGGTAACGCTTTTATAGGAATGAGCCTATGGTAGCCACAAGTCAAGCTCACAACCTTGTTCTCAGCAGGTGACTGGTAGATACACGGAGCCTCTTTGTTGTGTGATAAATACCTGAGAGAAATGGGTACAAAGTTTCATGCATTGAATTTGCATGTGTTGCCATTTTTTCTTTCAGCATCCTGATGCATGTTCTGTGGGATTACCGAGCTGAGCGCTGGCGACCTCTGGTGTCCAACATTCTGACCACTGCCCTCAAGTGTGCCTACCTCTCGGCCAGCGTGCCAGCCTTCCTGATGCTCGGTCTTGAGTTTGCCTCCAGCTGTATCCTTGTAGAGGTGACTTGAAGCATTTGCATTGGTGCTTGGTGTTCTGTGACCTCTTTGGACCTGCTGGTGGTTAGTGGCTTAGGTGTTGTGCTGCTGAGCAAGAGAACATAAGTTTGCTGTGTAGCCAATGCAGAAACATTTTGATGGGAAGGAAATGCAAGAACGCCTTGGATGAGTGTTTTCAGGTGGGTAAAATTAATTTGAAGCATCCTGCTACTGCATGCACATAATACCCCCAGAGTTACATTTCAATCTTTGACTTTCTTGTACTAAGGCTCGGTAGTTATCCCTTTGTGCTTCAAAATCAAATTTCATTGTGCATCTCTCGTGCAGTAGCCAAAGTAGTTTCATTAACGTAAACAGGCCTGCAGAAAATATGCCACATAAGTATTGTAGAATTGCACAATGGGACCGGACAAAAGTGTGCTGCATTTAACAGGAACTTTGTTCACCGAAAGAAAGATGTGTGAGATGCATCACAGAAACAACCAAATTAGAGGCAGTTATAACAGTTAAGCAGCAATTCTCCACTTGCTGTTTGTGTTCATTGAGATATTACAGTTGCTCAGTGGTGTATACTATACTTCAGTCTACTGTACTCACCTCATGGAGAGATTGTGCTCCGATGTTTACTCTGAAGGTGTGCTGCAATGCGAAAGGTAATCTCGCCTTTAATAGTTAGCCCTCTTTGAGGTGTATGAGTGACTGTTTCTAACTTATCTTCTTTCTTAACAGAAAGTTAATGCCGCTGCGGATTTTTGTTGCACCTTATCTTAGTCCAGCAGCAAAGTTCTGGGCACAGTTCTTTAAGATTGTTTCTCAGTGTGCGGGGACGAAAGTCTCACAACGGTTATACACAAACACACTAAAAATGTCACAGCAACAGGATGGCGATGCCGTCTCTCACTTCTGCCACAAAGAACATTGAATGCACTTGCCATTGGGTTGGATTACCATATCTTCTGGCAGCATATAGCAACAGACATTCTTCACTCTTTTGTGTGTGGGTGCTCAGTAAGTTCTACTGTGGAGGCATTTTTCCTTAACTGTACTGCTGAGTTTTGTTTTATACAAACAAACGTATGTACAGTACTGACAGATTCAAATGCGACATCAAATTTTTTTATTAATGAGAACTGACAGGCATTGATGCCAAGGAAAGTACAGGGTATGTCATTAGAAATAATTGTAATGTTAATGTGAGGAAAAAAAATGTGGACGAAAAGATAATATGCCACTGGCAGGAACCGAACCTGCGACCTTCGAGTAAAGTGTCCAATGCTCTACCACTGAGTTATGACAGTGGTTGTTCCTCTGTCCGCTTTATAGGATATGCAGTCGACTCCTGTTGATACTAAACTCACGGTAATCGCAAGAAACTTCGAAGTAAGCGAACTTTCAATGAAGCAAAATGCACAGAAACTGCACTTTTATTTCTTTAAACCTGACAGTTCTCTAAGCAAAACAGTCTGTCATTTTCTCTTGCCGAACCTGGCTGCACCTAGCAAATTTTCCAAGCACTCCACATGTCGAAGTGCTTCTTCAGCATTGCCTTCATCATCGTCCACTCGCCGATAGATCTGCGCAATTTTTGTGTTCATTAGTAGACGACATGTATCGACGTTGTTGTCCACTGCAATGAATTTTTCAATATAGACATCAATAAGAATGGCCCCAAAACTATCGTCATCGAGTTCACCTGTTCGAACTTGAAATTCGAGAGCGTGTTAGGCTTAAGGCTGTACTTTCGTGCGATGCCTTACTTGGCGGTGCCTTCCTGGTCAACTTATTTTAAGATTTTAGACATTTGTTGCCACTCAGGTCAAGTGTTGAATAGGTATGACGAGTTGACATTATCGAATGTCACCGGAACACTCGAAATCCTCTGTGGAAACACGAGCAGAACCAGCCCACAATCTGTAGGCAAGCTAGTTAGTTTATTAGGCTATGTTGGAACAGCGCAACTGAACGCAGATGGAGCAGAACACGCAAACACACACACAGCGCTGTGTGTGTGTTTGCTTGAACTCCAACTAGACTTCAGCGCGTGTCCGAAGCCAAGCACTTGACACATTAGAACGAAAGACCTAGTTAGCCGACGCGATCAGTGCGATGCCCTAGCGTTGACTAAACAAGATGGCCGCTTCATGAACAGTGGCTCTACGGGCCGTGGTGATGGTGGCAACAGCGCAGTCTGACAGCTGTTTTGGTGGTTTTGGTACATGAAAAATTTCAAATTTTTTTGAAAAATTACGGTCACCTGCAGGCTCTGGACTGAAACATAACTTTTAATTAACCAATGTCATGGGCTTTTAACTTCTAGTTAGTCTGCCAAAATGAGACCTTCATTATGAATAAAGGAAAGGGGTATAAATTTGAGGGCTCATTTTCTTGGATAAACACAATAATAAGGAATAAATATAAAGATTGATACGAAGGAAGGTAACATCCCCTAATTTAACTAATGATTCTTTTTCTTGTTTTTTATGACACTTAAATTCTTAGTGGGCACAATATCCTAATGCATTGCAGGGATTTTCACCATGCATTGTTTTTACTACCACCATATCCATGCGCGGTCTTGCTGCAGCGTTGTTTCGCTGTTAAGGCACTGTGAAGCACCTTGACCAAACTGCCTCTCCAGGGATTCAGGGGACGCAAGAGGAGAAGAGCTCAATCCAGACCAGCGTCTTCAACGTCATCGAGGTGGGTTGTCCTCTTACTGCCTCATCTCATTTCATTTATCGTATTTACTCACATAGCATTTAGACTTGAATAATAGGCGCACCCCCAGTTACGTTGCGAGAAACCGGGCTTTTTTAAATTTTCACGCATAATTTCCGCTTCTGGAACTCGGAGGGAGAAAAAAGACTGTGGCAGTGCTGCACAGACTCGCCGAGTGAAGAGGCAGGGCGGTTGCCTGGGCGTCGGAGTAACTTTAGCACCGGCGCCGGCAAGGCTCTAGCCACGCGCACTCCGCTTGGAACATGTGATTGCGTCCTCATCAAGTGCACTTTAAAATTCCTGCCGGAAAAGTGTCGTTATTGCGTTCGGTACCTTGTCCGCAAGTTTGAAAGCTGTTCGGGTTTCCGACATGAGCTTTGGACTTTGCTGCCACTGTGCAGGCTTGCATAAGCTCAGTGGACTTTTGTCCACGAACTTAAACATCGCATCTCGCGTGCTGGTTTTAAATCGGTGCTTGAGTATGTTCTTTTCGACACCCGATCTTAATGTTGTCTCGAGCAAACTTCCCACGACAACATGCAGAACCGCCTAATCCGCGTTGGTTGCTTTTCGGTGGCAATCGCAGGCGATCATATTGGCGGTTTTGCGCGGAATCAATTCTCTGGCTCTGCATGAAGGAAAGGAGGCATAGGTGGCACTTGTTACATTTGTCTTAGATATGAGGTGTGAGCCTGTAAAATCGAACAATTGGTACCGTTCTGTCATGTTCTCGTTGCTGGCGAGCTGGTAGTTCAGTGTTCATCGCAGAAAAAGCGTTTTCATTGTGAATGTGCGCCATTCGCTCTCTCTCGCCACATAGTGAGCGCTGATGCAGTGGCACACCCTCTCGTGCGCTCAAGCAGATGTACCGTCACGACAGTAGCAGCAGGCGACGATGCACGCCAACACACTGAGACCCTATAACGATAAATTTGCAGAAACTCCTTTTGATAGATTTGTGTTGGGCACGAACAATGTTCATAGGTCAGCTTGCAGTTATGGGACCCACAATACTTAGCATGGAAGACGTTTTCAGTTGATATTGTTGCCTGTTAAAGGTCCGGTCACTTTTAAAACTTTGGGTGCAGTGTGTCGATTCCATCCTGATCCCGATTTATCTGCAAATCCATAGAAACGACAGTCTTTAAGAGCCACTGGGCAATTTACTTTAGCAATACTAATGAGTAGCAGCTAAAACACCGCAGCCTCGCTACTTCCAGCACAAAAATAAAATTTTAAATAACAGTCTCATGATCAGTTGAAATGTGTGCCTGGGAAAAACAAGACATGCTTCAGTGCAACACAGAAGTGATGCGCGGGCAGCATGTCGCGTGTGTCTCGCAACGTCGGCGCATCATGATTTACCCATTCTTTCTGGGCATTTAAAGAAATTAATGAAGGGCAGTCTGGCGGAATTCGCTATGTACGTGAACTTCCGAGTGCCGGTTGCTCTAGCGATTTGCACACTTGCACTGCACGTGGAGCTCTTGCCTGCAACGCCTTCTTCAAAAACTTGATTTGAAAGCCTCAGTAGTAATGTTTTCCAGCCAAAACACATTGAAAGTTTCGTCATACTGTATTAACTTCTTTATTTCACCAGAAAAAAATGACGAATGATTGCATCATGATGTGTTGACGCAGCAAGAAACAGGCGGCATACTGCTCGTGTGTCACCACTGTATTGCAGGGAAGATGTCTCTTGTTTTTCTCAGACGCGCATTTTAGTTTATTCTCTTTTTTTTTTTTTTTTAACTTTATGGTGGCAGCAGCCAGGCTCGGCATTCCTCTTTGTTTGCGGCAAAATTGTGACCAAGTATTGCTGGAAAACATAACCCTTAAAGCCGCAAACTAGCCAGCACAGCAATTGACCAGCCCTGATTACTTTGAGCAATTTCAGGTTCTTTGCATCCCACTTTTTACATGTTCTGTTAACTGGAAAACCCGCTTAATCCGAATATTTTTTACAGTCCCAGTGACTGCAAATAAACATTTAACTAACATGTTTGTTTTATTAGTCATACAAGCAAGTCCTTTGAAGCTTTATAGTTTCTGTTCTAAAAAAGCTATAACCATAGAACGATTTGTAGCACTGCTTGCTGTAAGTAGAATTCGGTGATAATCACTGAGCAAGATCTCTATTGCCAGTTTATTAAAAGTGTGATCAAATGATGTTTTCATTATTAACCAGCTTTAGAATTGATTGAAACATGTACAATAGCACTGAGTTCATATTTAATATCATCAAATGAATGTTTATACTCATTAAAGTATGACCATCCTAGCTTAAAACAGGAATTAGCAACACTCTGAAGAGCACTGAAGATGATGTGGTCTGTGAATGGGCTTTGGAACAGTGTATAAGAGCTAGGAATCACTTAAATCGGTAAACGGAGCCTTTATGAAAGAATCATATCTGCTTTTGTGCTGGTGGGTGGACATGAAGGACCACAGGTTATGTCGTGCACTTAGTCAGGGCAAAAACAGTTTGACTGTACCGTACAATCCCAAGCAATTGACGGTGGTGGAAGAGTCACTAGGCAATGCTTTTAAACTGAGGGTCCCGCCTTCGTTCAGGGGGGTCAGTGAGCCAAAATTCACAGGGTCGAGTCAGCATCGCTGAGAACAAGAACGGCCTTTAATGTGCGACTCAAAATAATCACGAGCAGCCTTCCAAACCCCCTCAACACGGCATTAACGCACACAGAAGGACTAAAAACCCGGAGGGAACAATCCCTGCAGACTGCCGGACAATCGAACATACACAGTGAAACAATAGCAGAAAAGCCAGCACGAAACGTAACAGAAATTTAATTAAACTTACACGCAACTCACTGTAGAATACGGGCCATCGACTTGCCCTATAGCCGATGCCCCCAAAACCGGCAAGGCCTCTCCTCTGTAGCAGGCAGGAAGGAAACACTCCTCGCGCCTAGATAACCAATTCTGCATCCCATCGCTCGCCTCTCCCCGAAAAGTCCCCGGGCTCGTCGTGCACCCCCTCTTATCTGCCCACCACTGTTCCACCCCCAGTGGCTTTTTTGGATACTGACGCTAGTCCCGCGCATGTGGAATGCGCATGTGCTCTCCTCGCCCTGCTTCCACCGTGCATGCTGCAGGTAAGGGCCTATCGGCCAGACAAAAAAAATGCGCATGCTTTTACTCTCTTTACTGAACCAGCGAAAATGCTCATATAAAATTTTGTGTGTTATGATGAGGGGGAAAGAGGTTCTTCAAGTGTTGGGTCAATATGGAACAGTTGAAAGGTCCCTGTAACACATTCTGAAGTAACCATATGATACAGTCATTAAAAAAGCTTATTGCATCACAAATTTAACAGCGTATAAATTTTAAGAATCTGACCAGTACGAGCAGAGTTACGAAAATTTGTCGCACGCTGCTATCACATTCTCTGTTCTCTCATCCCGACGAAAGCGCTGGAAGCTAAGCAGGGGAGGGGTATGGCATGAGTGAAGAACATACGTCACGTTTCCCTTGTGACCTTGAGTACTTCTTTTTTTTTTCTTCGTATCCGCAGCTTTTCAGAGTGACCGTGTGCGCACGCGTGAACAGGTAGCGGCCTCACAGGACGATCCCTGTAACGACCGAGAGCACCATGTTTAAATCAGCCAATGGCTGAAAGATGGCCTTCTACGAGTGATTTTTGAGTGTCTTCCGTCATTTGTTAAGAGAAGAGAAAGCATTCTTTAGCTGAATTTGGTAGTTTATTGTGAATTCCAGGCCGTGTACTGCGCTATAATATTTGGCTCACTGTTTTTGGGAGCCTCTACTACCCATTGGCAGTGTTTTGTGTCCGTTTTTTTTTTAAAAAGTGTTGCGGGGTTTCTTTAAGAAAGCAATCCTGAGGCACCCCACGGAATGTACCAAGAAGTCGTGGTGCACTTATCTAGAGTCTGAGTACTCGAGTTTCTAGGAACCGCTGCTGCAGAATTCTGTAGTGGGGAACAGGTTGAAAAAAAAAAAAATGGAGAGGGGGTGGGTGCTTGGTGCTTGCTCGCTGATTGGCGCTCATTTCAAGTCTCCCGAAAAAAGGAAGGAGGTAGTTGCTTGCATAGGGGCTCTTGCTTGGGAATACTATAGATTTTGTACCATGTAACGGAACTTGTAAAAAAAACGTGCATTCTTTACAGTAATCTACATGGGATTTATTCTTCACCACTACTCTGTCACTATTTCATCTAGGGTAACCATCCCGTAGCGTTTCCCGGCATGTCACAGTCCTGCATGTCCATTGCTGATGCTGCCTGGAAGCAGGCACTTTCATACCAGCCCCGGGAGCCACTGCAGAATTTGGACATGGACCACGTCATCCAGTCAGGTGGGTAGCACAATATCTGGAACAAATGACACAGCTCGACAATCTCCCGACAAAGGATAACTAGCGGCATAAACATTGGTGGGAGCATTATTTCTGCTTTTCAATTTTTGAGGCTATCATGGGTTTCCGGTTTGCATGCCAGCATTGGACCAGTCTTGGCTCAAGCTTGGCAGCATTGGCAGAAATATTGGTCCCACATTTGTAAGACAAATTTTGCCTAACTAGCATGTGTTTTGTGCGACACTGAACAATCAACCTAGTAATCAGTGTTGAAAGACCGTGTGCAGGCCATTATTGCTTTTCTTAGAGAATGGATGCACCAATACTGTTTGTTGACTGGCAAGGACGGGCTCTTATCGCCGTCCTTATACAGCGATACTATCAATTTTGTACATTGTTGCCATCTTTACAAGGTGGCTATGGCACTATTATTTGTTGACTGAGAATGATGGGCCTTTTTTGGCATCCTTATATCATGGCAGTGCCAACATTTTATGTTGGCTGGTTACGATGGGCCTTTGTTGCCATCCTAGTACAATTCCAGTACCAATATTGTATTTTGGCTGGCTATGATTGACCATTGTTTGCGTCCTCATAGGCTGGCTTTGCCATCATTGTTTCTCAAGTGGCTTGACTGGAACTTCATTGTGCCATCATTTGCTAGCTTACAAACAATAATGGTTTGATTCGCTGTACTATTTGGCTCAGGATAAAAGATAGTATACCTCATCATAGAGTCTTACTCACATTGAGTATAACAGCAGCAACGTTCAGTTTCAAATGTCAAGTGGGCTGTTGCACCTAATCTTGATTACTCTGCTAGGAATAGATTTAGTATTTATATCGCTGATTAAACCTTTATTTAATTTTACGTGATGTAGCATATTACATGTTTGTTACTTTATTTTGAGCTAACATGCTCATTAAAAGTACTAATTAGTTGGATGTATGAAATGTTTTACTGGCTATAGTATAAAATAAAAGGAGCATTTCTGCTGTTGCTAAAGGTAACCAAATAATTGTGGTGTATTGATCTCAATGTAACTGTTGAATGAAGTTCGGATAGGATGTTGTCAGTATATACATGCAGCACAAACTTTTACAGAGGGCTTGATGTGTATGTATATATGCTTTGCCTTTTCTCTATAGAAAACATGCAGAACCTTCTGTGGAGGTTGTCTTAATCATAAGGTTTCCTACAAAATTTACTAGTAGAGGGAACTTCGTCTCTGTGATTTGTGATCCATCAGACGAACAATGGATGTTTTTCCTAGTCTTCGTGCTTGCGGTTTCAAACATATTTGTGGCTTTGTTTATTGTTATTTCTTGGCACCTGTTTGGATAAAAAAAATCAATTGTTTTGAACTTCGTGATCTGAATTAAATTGTTGGGCCTATAAAAAGGTCAAGATGGTGAAGTTGAACTTGTGAACATCTGCTGAGCTGTGTCTTGCGACTAAGTGGCAGCAGGCTTCACAGAGCCAAAGGGAACCGAAAGAACGAAGTTTAGATAAATCTGTGCTGTGCCCACCATTCTTATGCTAGCCATAGCGTTATGCATTGCAGCTCTTCTAGACACTAGCACCAGATTTTTTTCTGGTGTATTTTTAGGGAACGCTACGGTCTTAATGATGCATATGCATAGGACTTTACTGTAGGCAAGTGAGTAGTCACTGTGTTCAGTGGAAGTTTGTCCTTGGTGAGCGCTGGCATGGCATCTTTCATCTTTTTAGCATTTGTCAGTGTATGAAATTACACGGCAAAAAACCGTCCATTATCATCAAAAGACATGTCTGCGTGAATTTTGGGCAAGGCTAGAATTTTTCTGAATTGCACAGGGCTCAGTGACGACTCCAGAAGTTCTTGTAGGGCTCTTATTCCACCATTGCAAATTTTTTCTACAAAGACTTCGTATCACATGTCCTCCTTTTACAGTCTTTTTATGAATCGTCACTTTCACATTCTGCCTGCATTTGATCTCTCTTGTGGGTGAGATTTATGGGTGCTATACCTGACTTCTTTGCTTCTTCAAATTTCTTTAGTTAGTATGAGGTAACCATTAGCAGCGTGTTGTGTGTAGCACAATTAATGCGGCTGATGCAGAGTGCGAAGCTAGTTTCCTACCCGTCAACTAACAAAGCTGATTGGCTCCGCGAAGGCGAACGCGGGAGACCTGCGCAAGAGAAATAAAGAAGACTCCTTCATTCACACAGTTCACGAGCAGAGCCGTCCAATTCGTCCCTGTGTGGGACTAGCAGGGGAAGGCTTACTTGGAAGAACGTCTGGCAAGAAGCAGGCCAGGCGTCGCCGTGTGAGTTTAATTCATTGTTGGCATGCACGTGCTATTGAGAATGATGCAGGGACGCGACCACTGGTCTGTCCAAGACATGATGGCGGCACGCAGACGAGCTTATCCTCCTTCACTATACGTCATTACCGACTGTTGTTAAGGTGGCGGGGTGCCTCGCTGTCGCGTGCACACCTGGTCAGCGCACAGGGCTTCACGGTGTACTCTCCGCGCTTGAGGAGGCTTCTATAAAGCGACAGGTAATAAGAAAGCTGATGGAGATTGAGCGTGAGAGCGGCTACGGTTGGAGGTTGGCCGATGCACGGCCTGGAATGGGAGAGAGTGTGACACGCGGTGAATCTATCCCTTTGCATGTTGTATTTGGTAACGAAGTTTTTACCAATGCAGTGTCTGTTATGAAAGTGTTTCTGCGAGTGGTTGTGATTATGCTAGCCCCAATGTGTGATTGACTTGTGTGAAGACCCTTTGTTCAACCGAGGGTTGGAAAGAGGATGTTTGAATCTGAAAAGGAAAACCGGAGGTTCGGGCTTGGACTCAGGCAGATGCCTGAAGCTGCAATAAAGCGTCTCTTCACCGGACTATGGCTCTTCCTTGGCGCTGCCACTGTGCACTCAAGTCATCGAGGGGACTTATTCCGAACCTCAAACATTTTCTCTCCTGAGCTAGTGTAAAAGCTAGTTGACGAGGAGGAAATTAACTCGCTGTGTTTGATTTATTCAATTTTTTCAAGTTTCATTTTCGATTAAGTGCTTTGGCACACTTTCTTGCAGCACACTATATAAGGGTATCCACGCTTTCTCCGAGTTCATTCTACAGCTCATTATGCTCTGATGTTCCAAAATAGCGTGTACTGGAATGAATTTGCAAAATATATATTTCTTCTAACACGCAAACCTCCTTTTATCATCTTCATTTTGGCACACTAGATGAATGAATGGTGGGGAATTATAGAATGTGTTGTAGCGCCATGCTAATCACATTTAAAGGTGCCAAAAGCTAACGAAACGCTACCACATACCCTACCTACTTGTCGAGTGCAATAGCAGATGTTTACGACATTCTCTAAACACCCACATCATGTCCATGTGTTTGCCATTTCCACCGCCGTGGGCCTGCTGATGGCAGTGCCATCTAATTGTTTTTAAAATAAATTGAATGGCTGATGATCTGTGGCTACGGACGGCAAACCACGTGTAGCCAGAATTAATACATATCCACTACATAGGACTGTTGTCTGCGGTGTTTATCTGGCACTGAAGCACTGGTGGCATGCCATTAGTGAAAATGGATATTGGCATAGTTTTGATGATAAAGTCACCAATTTTTCTTTGAGAATTACTAGAGACATCTTCGGCGCTATGATGCACAAGAAGCTACAGGTACGGCAATCCACTCATCATGGAAATGATGGGCTGTTAAAGTGCTTGCTTAGACTAGATTTCTGGCACCGTAATTAGTTTTCTGACTACACAGATCTATTATTTTAAACAAAATGTCGCCTTACAAAAGTAAAAAAAGTTTTTTTGTGAAATGTGTACAGAACGATTCACGATCAGTTATAGAGTAATTGGGCACACCGCTCGCTCATGTGTGTACTATTGGCGTCAAATGAAACATGAACAGGGGCAAGCATTAGCAGTGGTAAAGTGCTGGCGAACTGCAGTGCTGCATGCCAGTCAGTGGTGACGATTGGATAGTGCACTCCATACCATTTCTAATGTTCGCCACTGTTCGCGCACAGAGGGTGACATGTCATTGAGGTCTCATGCTTTGTTTATTTATTTACATCTCTTCCCACCAGTGGAGTGCAAGGTTCAGTTTGGACACAGCGCATTCTACGCTGATCAGCGGGTGTGCCTCAAGGTTTTCATCAGGTAATCTCCCATGACCAGTCAGTGAAATGCGAAACTTGTGAAATAATTACCAGATCTGCACGAGAGTGGCAGCTTTTGTTGTGCCTTGACAAAGTAATGTTGCATGCATCACATAAGTGTAAGAATTTTTATGCAGAGTGACAGATGTGTCCAATTTCTCTCATGGTGGAAATACAGTGCATTGATTCAGTAAAAAGAGCCTATCTTTGAGTTCATGCACTGTCTCTACAGTGGGCAATGCATCAAGTGATAACACAGGTTATAAACTTTTGCGTGAAAGAGTCATCGTATGAAAATTGAGCCATTTAGTGGTAGGCAGAGTTTTAGTTGAGAATGGTTTGAGTCAATGAATGGTGAACCGAGAGCATCCTCGCTAACCAGAATTGACACACTGATATCAGCTTAGTAATTTTATAGAGGTGGTTATATATCTTGCTGTGTTCTAGTACAGGTTTTGATAAATGGCGCAAAAAGAAAGCAATGTCACTCTATCAAATTTTCGGCCGAGGAAAAGCAGGTTTTCATGTTAAGGTGCAAAAGCTGACAATCCTTATTTCTCAAGGTCACATGCTTGCAGTTGTTTGCTGCACTTCGCCGCCGTCATTGGCACGAAACCACCACATTACTGCAAGATTAACTTCTAGTGTACTAAGTATAGTGAAACACCATAATAGGAGACACCAATGTGCCTGCACTGAAATGAAAGTTGACCAAAAAATCTGAATGGGGCATCCCTCTTACAGAGACCCCTGAAGTAAGGGTTAAGAAGTCTTCCTCAGTGCATCTCTTACAAAGCTGTAGAACATGGTAATTTTCAAAAAAGGCTTTTTTTTTTTCAATATTTTTTCAGCACACCAGAGACTCGTGTGCTTGCTCATTTCTTTCATGCAATCTTATTTCCTTTCGAACAGATCTAACTGCCCTCTTCCAATTAAGGCCAGTGGACTGAAGGTGCACTTTAACAACCAGGTATTGCTTAGTTCAACACTCGATGTTTATTTCCTTTTCTTTTTATTAGGGCTGTAATACTGCCCTAACAGCTCACTTGTGTCGGCGTGTTTAGCTGCACGAACTTGTTATTCTCAACTTTTTGTTATGTCAAGAGAATCTCTTGGGTCTTATCGTGTTTACTCGTGTAATGAGCGCACTCGCATAATAAACGCACCCCCAACTTCAATCATAAAAATTTGGATTTTTTTCCCCTCGCGTTATAAACGCACCCCCTACATTCATCCTCTGCAGTCCCGCTAACCGACAGCTGGTGCCTCCTCACCCGTTGGATCTCTTCCATTTTTTATTATTTTTTCCGACCCCCCTCGGCCACCTCGGCTCGCTCCCTTCCTCCCCCTCACCCATTGCCGTGTGCCGTATTGTTTTTTTTTTTATCTGTACGCGACACGTCCCCCGTCTTTTTTATCTGCGCTTCACAGCAGGGTTAATGAATGATGCGAGAGTAGAGATTTCTGGAAAACCGGAAAAAAACACTTGTCATCCAGAAAAGATCGTGACGATTTCTGCTACATGGTAGTACTCTCGAATCTCGCTTTGCTTGTTATCTGCGCGTACAGGAACTCCTCTTGCAAAAGCGAGGCAGCGGACGTATTTTGTCGTTAATCTTGTTATCGACGGTTTGTTCTGATGCTTCGGGGATAGCTTGCTAAAATGTTCGTTACTTGCTACAATGTTAATGGCGTCGTCACGGTCGTCGTGCAAGGTTGCCGCGAAATTGGCAAAGTGTGTTTTAACATCGTAGTGCACGCTTGGGCGCCCCTCGAGATCACAGCAGATACCACTGTTGAAGTTAAAGAAAAGATAGACGCAAGACGCTTTTATGGCGTGCACGGGCAGCCCTGGGACAGCTCGCAGAATATAGCGCTCCCAACCACAAAAGATGACTAAAGTGCAACAAAGAAGCTGTTTCCAAATAGTGTACGCATATTTCAATTTAGAAAGGCTAAGCGACCTAACCTTTTTTTTCAATTACTGCATTTTTTGCTTCTCTTGAAAAAATTTTCATAAAATTTACCCACGTAGTAAACGCACCCCCCATGTTTGCTCTGATTTTTCGAGAAAAAAAGAAAAAAGGTGCGTTTATCACACGAGTGAATAAGGTGATTGCAGAAACAAAGGCCACCAACCACCCTGTATAATTTGAGCAGTAACCTTTTTTCACAAGCTGGATTGGACTCTAAATATATAATATATGTGGTGCTGTGCTGTGTTGCTGAAAGTAGCTGTGTAAAAGTGGGACACTACATTAGGAAACTGTGCCTTTTAATATTGGCACTCAGCATTGTTTACGCATATTGTTGTTTCATTTGTATTTTGAACATGAAGCCTCTGTTGGTTTTTTGTTGACAGCACTATAACAACTTCTGCATCGTCGAGGATGGTGACCCAGCCGCAGCCATAGGCAGCCTGCACTTGGTGCCACGGAGGACACAGTCCTTCTCCTTTGCATTCCTGCCACGGTCATGTGACATCAACAGCGACGTACAGGTCTGTGCACACTCGTTAAAAGAACGCGTTAGAGATACATCAGACTAAATCTGAATTCGGGGTCACTTATGTGGCCAGTTGTTTCCCCTTAGACAGCTAAGAAAACAGGAGGATTCTCTGGGGGGCAACATATACGGCATGAGTTTTTTTAACGAATCAGTTGATTTCTCCATGCAGGTGAAGTCTCCTTTTTTTTTCAAAGTGAGGTACTTGTTATAGTTACTGTGTTTGTAATGCAACGACCAAAACAGCGGGTAAGTGTCTGTGTTACAAGCTGCCACTCTAGCGTCGCCAGCGCGAAGTCGGCGACAGGAATGACAGCAGGTTGGTTCGTTCCGTACGCAAGCAGAGACAGTGAAGAGATCAGAGACGTGAGGAAACAAAACAAACTTTACTCTAGTGATATTGCAGCACACGGGATCTAATACAACACTTCAATACAACTAACAAAATACATCAACACTTGATACAACTAAAAAAATACATATAAAACCAATAAATCAGCTTACGCGAGAGAACTATCACAAACTACACAAACTAACACCAATAGAACTACGGAGGAGAAAGTTCGAAGATATAAACAGGTGAAGGCATACGTGTGATGACCGGCAGCGTTGCGTCCCCGACGATCGGATGCGAGAAGTCGAAGAGAGTTCTGGCACGACTGCGATGTCGGCGGTGTTGCTACGCTAGTGGCTCCGGGAGGCTAGTGCTTGCAGGTGACTTCGAGCAGGTTGAGCTAACTCGAGGCGAAGTCTTGATGTCTACGTTGCAGACGTTAATATCGCGTCACAACTAGACGAACGGCTAAGTTTAGGTGGCCAGCCGATACAGAGCCACACTGAAAACCTCTAGAAGAGATGCTTGTTGATCTGTTTCTACACCATGTTGGTCAGCGACTAGTCTGCCTAGCAGGGCAAAATCCTGCGCTTAAATCCCCCTCGTGTCTCCTCGCTCTCTTTCTTGGGGACAAGAGACCTCTACATGGGTCCAATCATGTGCGTTTAATTGATGGAAACTCTGCCTCAAAAATATTTTGACCCCACCCCTTTTTAATTGGGAGAGGGCCCTCAACTAGCGAGAGTGACAACCTGTCGGGTTGTTGTCATACGGCTTGGCCACCAGAGCGTTTCCCCGTTTTCCCCGTGGGAACGGTCAACCGTTTGGCTCTCAGCCGGTGCGTCTCGTAGTCTAATCCTTGTTCGGGGTATACCGCGGCCTTCTACGACCTTGCAGACGCCGCCGCAGTTACAAAAGGATCAACCGTCGGCGGCGATGTTCTAAGAAGAGCACCCCATTCTGCACTTCTCGGCTCCCTTTCATGCGCTCGCCGTTCTCACGGTCAGTGGGGGAGTACGGCGCCCGTTAATTGCCGTGACGCGGTGTCGCCATAAATGGCCGTCCGTGACATTGCCCCCCACTTTCAGAATGTTACTCATAACATTTGTTCACACGGAGGGGAATTTTTCGACAACAAGGAACAAAACACCACCAACAAGGGAGACATGAGGGCTGTCCCTCTCATACACAACATAAATAGGCAGAGTGCATCAAAATAACAACAAAAGGAAAAAAAAAACAATTGTTAGAGTACCAGCTTCAATTACACGCAACAATATCAATGCGCCATACAAACAAGAAGACGAAATAGCCGTGTACGGCAGCCATCAATACAGAATACACTGCACGAATGTAGACTACGAAACAAAACGGAACAGGTGCGCTCCTCTACTGTAGTGCAATCCTTCAATGTGCATTACAACAAGTAAAAACAACCAATGCACCAAGCAAAAAGAAAATAACTCAAAATACCCTTCTTATACAATGAAATACGCACATACAAACAGAAAACAACCGAAGAAAGGAAAAAAAATAACAAGCTCATAGACCTCAAGAACTATTTCCGGCTCAAGTAATTGGCTCCCACGTTTTCGCTACCCTTAATATGCGTAATGGTGAACTGGTACTTCTTGGAGTAGTAAACTCCATCGAAGTACTCGAGCGTTCAGCTGTTTTGCCCGTTGGATATAACTCAGAGGCTGGTGGTCTGTCTTTGTTTACGGCCGCCAACTATTTGTCTACTACTGAAACACTAAGCTATCCAGCTTTCCTGAAACTTTGGCCTACGCTGTGGCCAAAATACTCTTCGTTCGCTCAACCTGAGAAAAAGTTTACTGTTTTGCTTGTATGATCACTTGATCAATCGTTTTCAAAGAAAACCAACAACATTTGCACTGGTTTATGCTAAAACCGTGCCCCAATGACTCTCAATTCTCAATGCGCGCAACGACAACTGTACCGTGTCACGCCAATCTTAATCAATTTACGAATCATTCGGTTTATGCTAACATCTTCCTCAAATGCTCATTCATGCCACATCCCCATGGCAGTGAAGGCATACGATGCCACACTAAACCTTTGAAAAAACTAAAAAAATGACACATTTTCTTGGTTTTTACCTTATGCGAATTTTCGCACTCATGATTAAACTAATTCGATGCTAACTTTCAGCTTTTGGCTCGGCGGTTTTCCTTCTGAACAATTGACACCGCATCACGTAACTTGCAAAAATTATGACATAAGTCTGCATCTGCAAAGCAACACTAAGTAACCATACTTAGCACGCACGTGCAACATTTCTTCAAACTGACCGCCCCCCTTTTCTCAATTAGATTCGCTTGAATCGCACACGATGGGGTCGCGTTCCCGGCGGCCTTCGAGCACGCCAGAGGTTACAAAAAGCACGAACGCCAGACTGTGTCCTGCTGTCACGCCTCATTCTGCATTTCGGCCGGCTCCCCTCAGGAATGTGCAAGGGACGCCAGAACCAGGGGGGAAGCCTGGGTAATAGTGTCTTTGTGGTCGCCCCCACGCAGTACTTAGCCGTTGTGCCTTTTCGACTTTGAACCTTCGGGCAAGGCCGCTTTCCCGAAGTCGTCGAAATGAACCGCCCCTTTCGTTCGGGTGACGCACCTCCTTTTCCCCCTCTACACCTGGCTCGCCGCTTGTGTCTCCATGAACACCACCATTGACGTTTCTTGAAACGGATGAATGGCCTAGCCTTTCGTCTTTCTCGAGATGGAGTGGGATCTGCCCTAGGCTTACACAGTGCGGTGCGCTTCCGCTTCTTTCGTTTTCGGCGATGTTTGCTTGCCCCCTTTCTCTCGATGTCATCATCATGTCGCTTCGGGACCTCAGAAGTTGGGAAGCTCGTTGGAGCTGGTGCTAGGTCTTCCCTCCCGATAACGCTTTTTGAACTCTGCGTCACGACGGACTGTCGGGCCAAATTAGCTTTGTCGACACTGATGAAGCCATCAACTGGGCCCTCTCCGACGGCATCGCTGCATTCCTGAAGCGTCGCGTCCTCGCTCTGATTCGCCACTGTGCTAATCATGCCTACATTTGACGATGTCGAAACGTACTCTTGAGGCACGAAGGAGGTTTCCAGCATCTTACTGGGCCCATTAGGGCTGCTGGCACTCTCCTCATCCACGCAAGGAGCGTCTTTTGACATCGTCTCTACCTCCAGACCGGCCAAGGCCTCGTTCTCAGCATAGTCTACCTTGATGCATTCCAGAATACGCGGGCCCTTTTCTGGCGCGATCTCTGGTTCTAGCGCTTCCTGCCACACTTTAACGTCCATCGCTTTCCGACGTGCCTCGCTTTCAGACTGTTGTCTTTCTGTTTCGCGCTTTCTTTCAGACTCTTGTCTGAGCTGCTCTTCTTTTGTCCAGGCAGAAATTCCGAATATCCGGAACATCTCTGCCCTAACTACCTCGTAGTTGTTCGCGTTCTGCTGACTGAGTCGCGCAACAGCTTCATTTGCCTCGCAAGGCAGAATCGTGAGTAGCCCTTGACACCATGTGTCTCGCTCAAATGACAGTTCCTTGCCGGCATCGCCGTGCTCACTGCTGGATCGGCTCACCCTGCTACCCTCACTGAGGCAAATCTTTAATTGCAGTAACCGCACTTCCCGTTCTCCGGCTTCCCTTGCCGCTTCCCTTGCCGCTTCTCGTTCTTTCGCCCTTTCTTTGCGCTCTCTCTCCTTTTCCTGGCGCTCTCTCTCCTTTTCTTCGCGTTCTCTTTCCTTTTCTTCGCGTTCTCTTTTCTTTTCTTCGCGTTCTCTCTCCCTTTCTTTTTCCTTTTCCTCCCGGGCCAGTGCCCGCTTTTCTCTGGCTAACGCCTGCGCCTGTTCCTGCTGCTCCTTAACCCATTGTCTCAGTTCGGCGCCCTCGAGGCCTAACTGTTTACCGTACGCGATCCACTTATCAAAATCCATACACTCCATACTTCAACTGTCACTATAATGCCACTATAAAAACAGCGCAATCATTGCAGGATGCAACCGCTTCAACTGTGCGGCTCTATCACCACGCTGTCCGCACGGTTCTCGTTCACCCCTCACTGTCTTACTCTTGTACGGAACGTCCTGTCTCGCGGATGCCATTTCTGTTACAAGCTGCCACTCTAGCGTCGCCAGCGCGAAGTCGGCGACGGGAATGACAGCGGGTTGGTTCGTTCCGTACGCAAGCAGAGACAGTGAAGAGATCAGAGACGTGAGGAAACAAAACAAACTTTACTCTAGTGATATTGCAGCACACGGGATCTAATACAACACTTCAATACAACTAACAAAATACATCAACACTTGATACAACTAAAAAAATACATATAAAACCAATAAATCATCTTACGCGAGAGAACTATCACAAACTACACAAACTAACACCAATAGAACTACGGAGGAGAAAGTTCGAAGATATAAACAGGTGAAGGCATACGTGTGATGACCGGCAGCGTTGCGTCCCCGACGATCGGATGCGAGAAGTCGAAGAGAGTTCTGGCACGACTGCGATGTCGGCGGTGTTGCTACGCTAGTGGCTCCGGGAGGCTAGTGCTTGCAGGTGACTTCGAGCAGGTTGAGCTAACTCGAGGCGAAGTCCCGATGTCTACGTTGCAGACGTTAATATCGCGTCACAACTAGACGAACGGCTAAGTTT